AATGCAAAAAATATTCGAACAAAATGACCGTCAAAAAAGTTGAGCCCAAAACTTTATGGACCCTTTCGAATACTCGAGAAACGAGGTGACCAAGCTTTTAAGTTGGAAATTTCCGAACGGTGGAAAATACATCCCGTATTTCATGTGTCGCTCCTCGAACCCTACCGAACATCGGTTCGACCAGATAGGGAACAGAGGCCGCAGGACGCAGAAGAGATCGACGGCGATCTGGAATGGGAGGTCGAGAAAATCCTTAAAAGCGAAATTCTCACCTACACAAAAAGAGTCTCTGGACGCAATAAACGCATCCGAGAACTCAAATATTTTGTTAAATGGAAAGGGTGTTCGGAGGATGAAAACACCTGGGAGCCACCGGAGCATCTTGAACATGCTACCGACTTAGTGGAGGAGTTCCATAGAGACAACCCGGAAATGCCACGGCTGAGGTAGGATTATCAGGAAAGGTTTTCCTAGGCGTGGACAAGTAAACGCACATAGGTTTTTCATCCTACCTGGATAGAGTCCTAAACGGAATTTTCTTTACGACTATAGAAATGTACCATGTATAGATTACCTTAGAACATAGAAAGACTCGAGGATGAGTCTTGAAGAAGAGGGAGCTAATGTTACACATAATAGCGTAATCGGTGCGGCACGTGACTAAATGCATAAGGTCATGTGTTCGACTCCGGGCCCCGCCTTAGTATTCGTAGCGCTAAGATATTAGCGCACGATATGACAAGGCATCTATGCAGCCCACTTCGCGGAGATACGAGGCATGCAACCGAGGGGTTTTTGCTGGATAACATAGAAGGAGCTCTACTCTACAAGATAACACTTAGTTGGTTCAGATTGGTCGGTTAGTTATTGAGCTACGACCTCTGCAAGTCTATATGCAATTACAAGAAGTAATATGCATGTCCCTTCAGCTCGCGTAAGCTAGAGTCATCCGGAAGACCTAGTTACGATTGGTTAATAACAACTCACTGGTCGAGTTAGTTATCTTCGTCATGCACTCTAAGCTATGCATATAGAAGAGTTATTGATAAGTTCTTTGACGGAGCTGATCACTCCACTCAGGAAGAGAGCGGGGAAGTTAGTTTTCAGGGTCAAACGGAGTTTGCACTCCAAAGACACTGAAACGTTAGTATGGCAGGAACATAGTCAGTAAGGGATTGAATATAGGCCGTGACCACCCAGACGCGGAATATAAATATCGAGGTGCCTCCCTAGCTTTAAGTCTATCATCAGCGACCGGAGAAGAGATCTTATCAATATATTCGTTCTACTTTACTTCTATCTTTACGAGCCTTCTTGACTATCTCCGAGACAGAAGATTACAGGGCCTAGTGTATACTCGCTTGACTTTAGAGTTACCTACCCCCTAACAAGATCACTAGGACTTGGAATGGATTTTACGTACCTCAACTCGGGTGAAAACCTTGCGAACTGTTTCCCGATCGATTTCAAGACAAGCTGAAATATCAAGAAAACTCATCTTTGCGCACATCCGAAGAGCAATAATAGCTCCTCTGATTGATATAGACAGGCTTCTTCCAGGAGCCATCGGGGATGAAATTTTGTCGGTGTGATGGTTTCTCGCCACAAATTTCTGAGTACTCGAGTATCCAAGACTCTCTTCACCCCTACCGCATTAGCTAAACCTTCAAACTAGTTGCACACTATCAAAAACTATACCTGTTGAGTAAGATGGAGCTTCCGCCACCCGCTAGGACAAATCAGGTGCCAACTCTTGGCTGAGACGCACGAGTATGATACCGCTAACCTCCTCAATCATTCCTTCCTCCCTCACTCTCCTACACCATCAGATCCAATCTTCCAATCCTGAGACCGCCCCCTCCCCAAGCACACACCACAGCCGAGCCTACCATCCATAGTTATCCTATAACCGCAGCGGGGAAATTATGCATTGCCAGTACGCCCCCTGCCGCGCGATAGCGTACCGGGGCAAGGACCAAGCATAAAAGGTAGCATAGTACTTGTATTAACCAGTACAGAACGGGGGAATCGATGTTGATTTCGGTCCAAATTAGTTACTATATATTACCTGCACACAACAGCTAACCCGTCCGCAAATACAGCCCTCCCCGGCAATTGCTCAACAAGAGCCTGTAGGGGTGTACTTGATTCTTTTTGATAAGCATATAGTATTGAATAGGGTCCCGGGCACTTCATCCAACAATCATCCTCCTTGATTGCCCATGGGGGCAAGAGGGAATGGGAACCTTTGGATCATTCTTCCTTGGCGTACCACCGCTGCCGAAATTTCAGTTACGCACCGTACCGCTGTTCTATCCCCGGCTTCTTAATCCACAGGTGATTTCGTGGCAGTGCGGATAAAAGCCCCATAGATCGATTACCGGGCCCAACCCATCCCATCGTATCGCACGTGCGGTGCCATACCCGCACACCACCAGGGAGCGCCATCGGGATCGGCCTTGCTCCGGTCTACCCTTCCGCCGGGAATTGCAGGATCAGAGACCTCCTTCCACCGCGCGGTGTTGCATATGCTACGTACAATATACGGTATGCTAAACGTACCGTAGTAGGGGTTGGAAAACCTGCGTTAGAGTCTATATTACATACCCACCGGTCCGTGGCATATTCAACCGCTGGCTGTGCATTCCATAGCTCACTAAAAAACGACCTCTCCCGAGAGTTATACGACATGATCAGAAGTTCCCCAATCAATCACACCCATTTTCCGTGCAACAAAACATCCCGCTATCCTGCCAAACCGTGTCGAGATTCGGGAAGAAGAAAAAATGCGGCAGCTTTGAACCCTGCGTGAGGTTCCGCAATTGGGATTTCTCGAGACGGGTGTATGATATACTATTTCGTACTAGCGGCCGTATAAAGTCTGGGGGCTTGAGCAGAATTTCCGGGCTGAGTCACGCAAGTGGCCCCAGGGTATTCATGAGGAAGTTAACCTAGTCAATTCGGACTGCTCATGCCCTTTTTTTCTTTCTTTTACAATGTTGGTGAGGTTTTGCTGTTTCATGGCGAGGTATGATGTCGTACTGTGCTGGCATCATACAATTAGTGGCCATGGTGGGTCGTGTCAGGGGACTGCACCGGTATCCCTACACATACTGTGCTCGAGTACCGTAGACGTCTAGGTATTCGCAGCTCCTATTTTGCTTGCCATAAATAGTCCGGTTTCTTCTTCTACCCTTGCTCCTCATCTCTCTACCCTCTTTGGATGGTCAATCAATATTTTTTTAACCTCTCGAGCCATCACCGCGGGTGATTGTGGTGCCTATTACGGTATATTGTTTTCTAAATCATGAATGGTCACTCGTTGGTGTCGTTATCCCCCAGCCACACATCGTGTCCTATCATTGGTCTACTACCAGTAGGTATAAACTGCTCCAAGATTTCCGGATATTTTGGAGTGCCGTGAGGGCGCCATACCCGGTGACTAAAGAGGGTAAGATTTCCGGGGTCACGTGGTTAGAGCACTATGGATATTGCATCTCTCGAGTGATTCCACAGACTAAAATCTGGTACAAATTGATTCCGTCATCTCTAAACCAAAACAAAAGAAAAAACAAACACGAGACATAGAATTGAAGAGTTGAGCCTTCCCGGCTTGCACTGCAGGCGCCCGCCATCAACTGATAATGCAGCCGCCGCGATCGTCCAACTGTTTTTGCATCCCTGCTATTTTTTGCTGGAAATTCCTCCTATCCTCGGCCCTCAATTTCTCCAAGTCATCTGTAGCTTTCTTCAACGCCTGGATCTCCTTCTGGTAGCATTCCCTCAATAACTTGATTTCCTCCTTACTGCTAGTGTCCTTCAGCTCAGCCTTAAGTGCTTCCAACTCCCCCTGATGCTGCCTCTTGATTGCTTCTATCTCACCAGTCAGGTACCTCCCGGCAGACGTATCTGACAGGCTACTATTCCTGTCCAGTTCATCCTGGAGCTTCAGGACAATCGTATCCTTCTCGATGAGCGGCTGGGCTATATCCCTCGCAGAGGTCGTGAAATCGGGACCTCGGTGCCGCTTTACCTGTGCTCCACGAGAGATCAGATTACCCCAGAAACCTGCCCTACTTTTCAGCTCATCCTCGCGTTTTTGGCCATCCTCTTCGCTAACTTTATCCCACATTGTTGTGAGGAGTACAACATTGTTGAAGTTCTTCTCGCCACAAAGCTCTCGGAACATTTTCAAGTTCTTCATGTTTGAGCCTTCCATGCGCGGGTCGGCTATTCGGTGGAAATAAATTATTCCTGAGAGGTGCTGGCGCTCGTGACTAGCTTGTTTGACCCATTCGGCAATCGTGCTTAATATGTCGACGTCGGATCGGTTGGTGTCGTCGAATCCGGGTGTGTCTATAAGCCACACTTCCCGGCCATTGATGGTTGTCCTTGCAGTTTGGATATCTTGGGTGCCTGTGGCCCCGTTAGTGAGGGGAGTCTTCTAGATAGATGAGGGGAAAGGGGATACTTGCAAGATTCAAGCCCGTGGCCCACCATAAGACCCCCCCCTGTAATGGCATTGATAAAGCTCGTTTTCCCAGTCCCCGTCTTCCCCATAACCGCAATCAGTGCAGGCGGTTTCGTCGCATACCGTTGGATGAAATTGCGCGCTCTATCGCGGAGAGCTGGAGTAGGTTTCCCTGCCGCTCCCTCTCCATACTGTAGCCCTTCGGGATAGTCACCACTACTCAAAAAAAGAACATTAGTCTCCTCCGTGGCCTGCATACACACACACAGAATTAAGCAAAACATACCTCTCTACTCCATTGTGGGGGGCTGGAGTAGTTTCACCCGCCGATCCTCTCCCATCCTGTGGCTCTGCAGGGTGGCCATCACTAGTCAAAAAAGAACATTAGTCTCCTCCGTGACCTGCACACACACAAAATTAAACCAAACATACTTCCATAGTACTCGTACATCGTGGTGTGGTGGAGTAGTTTCCCCTGGCGATCTTCTCTCATGCTGTGGCTCTGCAGGGTGGCCATCACTACTGAAAAAGAACATTAGTCTCCTCCGTGGTCTGCCCACACACAAAGTTAAGCCAAATATACCTCCCTACTCTATCCTGGAGGGCTGGAGTATGTTCCCCCGCGGCTCCTCCCCCATTCTGTGGCTCTGCGGGGTTGTCATCACTACTCAGAAAAGAACATTAGTCTCCTCTGTTATCTGCGCACACACACAAAGTTAAGCTAAACACACCTCCCTGCTTTATCGTGGAGGGCTGGAGTAGGTTCCCCCGCCGCTCCTCCCACATTCTCTGTCTCTGCGGGGTTGTCATCACTGCTCAGAAAAGAACATTAGTCTCCTCTGTAATCTGCACACACATACACACACGAAGTTAAGCCAAACATACCTCCCTACTCTATCGTGGGGGGATAGAGTAAGTTCCCCCAATCCTCCTCCCCCATTCTGTAGCTCTGCAGGATAGTCACCCCTACTCAGAAAAGCACATTAGTCTCCTCCGTGATCCGCACACGAAGTTAACCTAAACGTACCTCTCTATACTCTCAAACCCGTCAGTTTCATTGACCTCACTCATATCCTGTTTTAAATTTTCCTCTTCTCTCTCTGTTCTCTGGTTCTCACTCATGATGTTCTGATCCGTTTCCTGTCGTTCCTCTTTCCTCACCACTTCCTTAACAAGCTTCCTAGTCATTGCAAAGGCTGGCTGGCGTATTTATATACCACAGGCTATGGGCTGTAAGTCACCCTATCAAGACTTGAGTATACCCTTTAAATATGGAATGAGCCAGGAGAAAAAGGAAAAAGAAAGTATAGTCTTTTTTCTCCCACAATCCGGACGGGAACGAGCAAAGCAAGGTGTCTGCCCCCCACCCCCCCCTCCTCTTATCGATCGAGTGGGGCAGCTTTAAGGCCCACCATATGTGCCTGGATAAAATAAGATGTGCTGAACCACTGCTGCTTGATCGGTTTGGCTTAATTGACTGGTACCGATAATGCAGTGGCGGTAATTGAGGGGGCTTTTCCCCCCCCTGCCGTGCTACTTGTATGCTGGAGGCACAGTAGGTAGATCTCAAGCAAGGGATTATACGCTGGCTGCACCGAATGGGGGCTGCTGGTCTGTTTGGGGAGGGGGGACTTCTCGCCCTTTCCGGTTTGTTACGGTACTCGAATAAGTGTACTACTGGCCAGGGACTGCTGATAGGCACCAAGCACTCCACCGCACTACACGAGTACAGTACAATACCGGTACCTGTTTCGTAGTCTACAGCAAGAGTACTTGTGCCCACAAGCTATACCCCCCCCGCGGACACATACTGCGGCTACCTACCTCCACATACCCACGATACGTCGATACCCGCAGCTATACAGCCCCTACCACCCCCTCAAAAAAAAAGAAATATATCCAACACGCTGGGGGCCTTACACCATCCCTGGGATAAGTGCAATACTCTAGTGCAAGGTACAGTACAGCAGTAGTGCGGGCACAACGGAGCACAGTGTAGGCCTTAATCAGGAGAGCAAACAAAGAGCTCTAGGCATCCAAAGTTACTACGATGATCCATGCTAAATAAACCTGGGACGGATTCATGCGGCTCGGCGGGGATCTCTTCTTTTTTTTTTTTTTTTGGCAATTCTCTCATTTGGCCCCCCCAACTTCTCAAGGGCCATTTGGACTTTGCAAAAGCATGATGGTAGTGAATTGATAGTGGAGATGTAACCGCCATATCCTGGACCACTGGAACAATCCACAGGTTATGGTACTTGTACCACCCGACCAGGCTGCGCTCTACAGCTCCCCTCGAAGCACAATCGCAATCGTATGAGTTCCCATTCCATGACCCATCCCGCAAGATGGAGGGATACAAACCGATAAACTGTCAGAAAATCGAAGGCTGCAAGGGACTAGGAAAGTGCTGTTTTAACAGGGCGGGTCGTGCGGAGGAGGAGGCACGAGGAGGCGGGGGGATCGGCTACGGTAGATCCTTCTCTAGCTTTCTATATGCCCTTTATGCCTAGCCTGCTAGGCAGCTTAGTTGCCTAGTCGAGAAGGTTGCAAATAGTAACTGTACAGTACACTATATTTATGGTTCTATCAATGTGATAAAGTAAGTGAAATTTTCACTTATTCTGTCCGATCGAGTGAATAATAACATCCCCTTACCTTACCTTACCTTACCTACCTACCTCTCGTACGACTCGTACGAGTACTTGACAATTATATATATATATACATGCAGGGGGCCAATATATCACTTCTCCCGCCACAGAAGCTCAAATAATTGGACAGGCACCAGGTACAGTACAGCAGTCCAAAATCCCATCCCTCTTGAAAAGGTGTGTCGTTCATATCATACCCTCTAAAAGACATGGGAAAAAGAAGAAGAAAAAATCATAATACCATAACAGAGAAGGAAATTCGAATGATATACCTACCGCATTACCTGGAGAGAGCCTGGGGAGGGAGGGGGAACCCCTTTGGGCGGGGCTAAGAGGCAAAAAAAAAAAAACTACAATTGCATAAAACTCAGAGCCCTGAAAGGTTCCTTCTTTCTTTTCAATATTACAGTCCTGGCCGTGATACACAGCTTCACCATGAAGAATCAATTGTATAATAGTGTGGGGTGTGGCTTGTCAGGGCAGGTTCGGTATCCTACTCGAGTAAGAGAAATGCTTGACACACATGTGATATGATACTAGCGAGTGATAGTTCCTGCCAGTTAGTGTTGATGTGGTACCGTACCGTATGATATATATGGTACGATAAGTGCAATGTCCTACTATTTAAGAATCCTACGGTATCATACATACTGCCTTCGGTTGGCGGAAGAAAAAAAACAGAAAACAAGGGGGTATTACCAGGGGGGACAGACCCAGGTCATAGAACGTATTACGATCTTTAATCAAGCAATACATTATCATCACAGGCGCGTATATCCTCCACTCACTTGAACGGTTGCCTGAACTTCAAGTCTGTCTGTCAGGCATACTATCTACCCAACTAATGCTTTCTTCATCTAAACGTGGTTGGGGTGGGGGAAGGGGGGGGGGTTCTGAGCTGTTGAATTTGGGGTATATTTTGGTGACATGATAATATTATATAATACCAAATGTTTTAATCCCTCGACAGGGTCTAAAGGCAAATAACTATCAGTGAGCAAATACTTGCATTGCATGACATTATGATGGAAACGGTTTAGTATCTAGAGTGCACCTATACCTAACAGTGAAAAAAATATATATACGGTACTGCAGGTCCTTATATTTCTTAAGCGCTATTAAATTCCATCAGTGACGCCGAGTCAATTTTGAAAGTCGGTACTGTACAGAGAGAAGTGAGCAGGGAATATTATGTACTGTACTGTACTGTACTATGATGCAACGGATGATAAGTAATTGGGTAAAAAAAAAAAGAGAGATCAGATCAAAGAGGTAGTTAGAAAAAGAATACACTCGTGAAAGCTACAAAATCGGTGGGGATTAGCTAACTTATTGCTCAGGCTGGTGGCTGGAGTACAGTAGGAGTACAAGAAAGGGTTATGTTATGATATTAACTTATAGGTTTCATACTCGCAAAATATCACCTGCAGCACTTCTCCTTTTTAACTATACAGCCAACTCCTATCCAAGACCAAAAAAATATATATATATAAAATACTCCCTACTACTACTACTACTACTACTACCCTGACTTAATCCACATTCCAAATGCTACAATCCCCGTTTAGAAGTAAACCCAACTTTTTACTTGTGATACTCCCTACTATTGCAGTAGGCACAGCATATATAATGAATGATAAAACAATGCATCAAATTTCAAGATTGTCGTACTGCAATAGCGTTACTGTACCACTGGTGCTTCGGGACCGTTGGCGCACTTCCACGATCACGACCGGTACTTCCTGGTACCAACTCGCTCGCTAAATTCAGCGTTGATCTTGACGTGGCGATTGAAGTTACTGTACGGTACCATAACGCAAATTGGTGGTGGGGTTCGGATTAATAACGGCGAGAGTGAGTGACTATGACAGCAAGTTACCACTGCCCTATGGGATGTGATAACTTGAGGATTTATACGGGTACGGTGTAGTCGGGGAAATTGGGGGAAAGTCAAGGTGGTGGAGGAAACTTCCATTTGCCGTGCTTGTCTGGGGGGATTGGGTTTGCTACCCTTGAGGAAGTACCGCTGCCGGGAGGCGAACCACGGAACTACGCAAAATACAGGGTAGGCATGACTAGTAGTGAGCCCGAGCACCTGTATGATATGATACATAATATAGCTCCCATGCGGCGCAGTGATCACAATGAACGAATATTTCCAGAATAGCCTTGACCCGACCAAACAAGAAACCCCCTTCACAAGTCATCGATAAAGATTAGTTAATAGGGTATACACTACACATAAAACCTAACCTAGCCCTCTTGCTATCATGGCTACAACAATGGTATGGCAAAAACAACATTAAGGAAACACACCACAAGCGGGGGATATCGCATCCACATCTCCCTGTCTCCCCCCTTCGTGAGCAGCCCTACCACACCACCAACCACAAAACAGCACTTCGGCCCCTATCCCTATCCACGCTGTCAAGCCCTAATACTTCCCACATAATTCCTCAAATGCTTAAAATTCCCAGTAGTAATCCACCTCTGATAGGCAATATACCTCTTGTTCTCCCGGTCAGTCTCGTCAACGCTGAGGGGGTTCTCAGGGACCTCAACAAATTCACCATACAGCGCCACATCCTCTGCCTTCGCCGTCATCCCGGCCGCGGCCTCGGGCGAGGTATTACTCACGTAGTCAAAGTAAACAAAGTCCGGATCCGCGTCCTCCGGGAGCTCCGACGTAACGACGAGGGGGAGGTTTAGCGGATGAGACATGTACCGCTTGTACTCTTCCGCTTCCTCCTCGCCGAGAACTGGATTGAGGCTTCGCTCTATTGCCTGATTCATGTCACGTCGTTCGATTTGCATCACATCCTTTCCGAGTGAGAAATGCTGCTTTGTCGGGCTGCTGAGGCCACGGCTTAGTTCAGGCAGGTGATAGGCCGAGAGGCTGGAAGATTTCCGGGGAGGTGCTGGGGGCGCTGGCGGAGGCGCGATGCCGTTTTGTGGTGGAACCATACCGTGGAGGGCTGTGATCTTTTTGAGGCGGCCTTCAGCGGTTTCAGAGTCCCGTTCGGCCTTAGCCTTCTTCTCTGCACTCTCGGCTTGGTGCTGGCTGTGGTGGTCGACGTGATTTGACCTAACGGTGAACGGGCTGAGGTCGTATCGGCCAGTTTGTGTCATCCTAGACGGCGGTCAGCAGGCACCCGAATAGGAGCACTTGTGAAACTAAAGTACTTGACTGGGATGTATCTTAAGGTAGAATTAAGATTATAGGCGAAGACTTTGAGAAATGAGGATAGAGCCTTTGGACGATAGTATTCTAGCCAATAATCGTTGAACCGGCTGTATGGCCTTGTTGAAAGTTCATCTGAAAGTGGTGGCACCTCGGGCATCGATCGCTCCACAAGGTTCTTAGGAGTCCACCATTTTACGTAGCTGCCGGAGAAAGGCATCAGGCACAAGTAAGCCAACATATCAGAAGACTAATTAACTTACCTGCGACGAGGCCTCCTACCAAGCCTTGGGTCTACGTGATGAAGATAGTAGTCTGTAGATAAATCCCAAAGCATAGGTTGCCCTTGAGCAAATATGTAATTCCCCAAGAACAAATTGTACGCCTCCTGCCGTTGTCCATCTATGGTAACCCTAGTCAGCTCTAGCCTCATTAGAAAGTGTGGATGACATTAATCAAATAATACCTAAAAATGAATTGTTGTAATATCTCTTGAAGCTTTCCAACATATCCCTCGAGTGGCTCGTCCACTGATTAATCTTCCGATACGTCTCCATAGTATTGACTAAATGACTACCAGCGTACTGAACGGCAATTGTGTCTCCATGGTCATGGTACATGTGGGTGAACAGGTTCACAGCGTCGGTATCATATTCAATGCTGGTGCCCGAGATTACTCCCAATGCGTGCAGTTGATGCCCCAACGCTCTTTTTCCGATAACGAATTGTGCGGCATTTGTCCGATCAAGACAGTCGATGCAGTTCGTTCGGCAGACACCGTTCTGTAGTGAGTAGCCACTTTCATTCTCGTTACCCGATTTAAGCCCATTATGGAAGAATCCTGTTGTGTTCAATACATTCTCGGCGATTGTCTCAAGAGTTTCTATCACATCTTGATCACGGCTGAACATCATGATTAGAAACAACTTAGACTGTTTGTTTGCCGGGTGGCGTACCTCTTAGACGCACGAGACATATCCCAAGCTATATATCGGATACTCTTCTCAGTTGGAAGGAACTGGTTCAGATAGTTGATGGCTTGAGTAAACTCCTTTAACAACAATGACTCCCTCGGTGTTCGTTCTCGAGACTAATAACCCATTAGCAATCGGGTTGCACCAGAGCAGGTCGGTAACCAAACCTTTACGAGATTTAGAACAATCACAGGTGCGCCGTATCTCTGGAATAAATCATCAAAGTGCAAGGCGGCAGCACTAAAGAACGGGTCCACAAGATTTACTACAAGCACATCATCAGCTCCTATTACGCAGAAACAGAAGAGGGGGGGGGGAATAGTAGCAAGGGCACAAACTCTCAACAGGTGGCTTGGGAGTGGCCGCATCATTCTTCTGTGTCCAGAAGAGTGGGATACTACCGCGGTGTTGTACGTAGGATGTATAGTTAGGATTGGAGTAAAGATTCTTCGTGGGCGCGTGGAATGAGGTAGTGAGCATTTCGGAAACAATCTGCTCTGTTTCAACATCATTCGCAACGTATCCCTAGAGTAAAATGTTAGAGCGATAAGCTAGCGCTCGTTCCGCAAAGTGGTATACCAGGTCATTGGCACCACGCTTTAAAAACCTTGCACCTGCAAAGTAGCGAGAACGTCGAGCAATAACAGTGATATAAATCACTCTCCCGTAGACGGAAATAGCTATTTCGTAATTTAGCCGTTTTTCCTCTATCGGCTCAGATTACTCTTACCAGCTTGGTCAACATAGCCATGAACAATCGGCATGCACCAATCATACGCATTTCTCATATGTGATTTTGCCGGCTCTAGCAAGTAATGGTTCCAAGCGAACATGTCATTGTAGTCATGATTATCGGGCTTCGCGAGACCTTTACCCAAAGCCTCTCGTTGACGAATGATATTATGCTGGAGTGTCCGAGTGATATCGTAGGAATAGCTGAAATAGAACGATCTCGTGAGATCCAAATTTCCGAGAATACTAACGAAGCGCGCTTCCTGTGAATTTCTCTCTGGTCTCTTCGGTGCTGTCCCGGCTGTTAACGGGACCAGCTCGGTGTTGTCGATCTTTAAAAGCGGTAAGTAACAGTTAGCACTAGACGAACAACCGGAGAAACATCACCGAACCTGATACACATAGTGCCCTCCAATCATAGCGACAATGCTTCTTTTCGTGATAAGAAGCATGTAATACGCCCCAGTAAACCTAATAAACCCCAGTAATCCCCAAAACGGGCACTTCTGTTTCAACCCCCCGGTAGAAATATTCCCATCCTCAATAGTCGCCAACAGCCTCGCTGTCTCCTCTCGAGTGTATACAACCTCATCCTCCGTGATGCTCAAATCCCCACTCTCAGCCGTCCTATCAATCTTCAGGATCCTAAATCTGGAGTCCAAAAGATCCGATCCAACAATATAGAACCGAGTAGCAGTCTCATAGAGCGTAAACTTGTGCATCCGCCTCACGCCCTCGAAATCCTTCTCGTCGTCGTGCAAAAACTCCTTGTGGTCTCTGTGACAGTGCTTGAAGTCTGAGCGATCGAAAGATTTTGGCACGGAGGACTCCTCGTCCTTGTCATCCGATATGCGATGTGGTTGGTTGGTGATGGGGCTCGCAGGAGGATTATTCAATAGTTGTGGGTATGTGGGTTCCGGAGCCTCCAGACGAAACGACAAGGACGGTGGGTGGGAAGGTGTGGCCGGCGCCGGCGCCTCATCCGCAGTCGCAGGGGCGGAAGTAGGGTCAGGAGTACCGGTAGTCGTGATTGTTGGCTGGGTGGTAACACTAGCATTCTCGTCCTCCGGGAATGCCTTCGCACCGATTATGCTCGGTTCTGATCTTCTCAGAACAGGGATTTCGCAGTTCATCCCTTTGCATGCTTCCTCGCCCATATCCGAGCCGCATGAAGACATCCCGCACGACTCCCCGGCCAGCGAGGGCGGGGATAAGCTGTCATCCGTCTCCAGCTGAGCCGGAGTGCTCAGGGAGTTTGTCGATGAGCTGGGATCGCTGAACGCTGGCAAAGTTCCTGTCGTGACAGCCATGGCAAACTCCCGTTTTTTGTTGCGGTGTGGTACCCGGGTACAGTATTGTGGGTTAAGGTTGGTACAGTATCATATCCAGGTGTTGCCCGCACGGGGAAAACAAGAATAAGGTTTCCGGGGCCGCTCAAACTCTTAGCCTAGCTTCGGGAGCCCCCCCCCCCCGCCATGAGCCGCCACCGCAGGAGAGAGTTTAAAAAAACATATTTCTTCTAAACACCTATCATACTATTACTATGGTCTTCCGTTACCGATATATGATATGATCCGATTTTGGGGGTAAGCCTCAAGTTCGGCACGCCCACGCCTTGTGCTCCCTAGAGGGGTGAAAGTCAAGGGAATGTGACGTCTGGGAGGTACTCGAGTAGAGTACCGTCCAGGTATGAGTGGCTAGGGCTCGAACTCAAAGCTTGGCCCTCAAGTATGATAACTCAACGCCACAGCCCAAACCTCCATGTCAGATCCTTAAACCTTCTCCAACACACCCCTTCACACCGTCACCCATGGGCCAAGGCGATTACGAAGAAGGAGAAGGAGGAGGAGAAGGAGAAGGCGAAGAAGTCCCCGACTGGCGAACCCAAGCTCCCTATGGTTCCGGAATCCGGCGAAAGCGAGTAGCTTTTATCCCAGCCTCCGACTCACCCGATTTCGAAACCGTCGCCCCAAAGCCGTCGAAGCTAACCGGTAGTGAAGCCTCATCGCTCTACCTCTCGCTGGTAGGCTTAAACTCGAAAACACCATCCGCATCCACCTCGACGGCAGTTTCCTCCCCATCGTCGGGTCCCGAGCCGTCAAATTCCCCCAGAGATGTGCCCGTCTGTGAGATCTGCTCACTACCAATCACGGACGAACACACCCATGAAAAGTCTACAGCTCACCAATACGCTCTTCCACACTCTCATCCTCCGCACCATTACGACAGGTCATCGTTAGGGCTAAAAGTCTTGATGGACTCTGGCTGGGACCCGGATGAACGAAAGGGGTTAGGGAGGGAGGGCAAGGGGATGAGGTATCCCATCAAACCGGTTCCAAAGCACGACAACCTGGGCGTTGGTGTCAAGCCGAAGAAGGGGGGGAAGAATGGAGCGAAGCAGAAGGTGAGGAAGATAGTTGGTGTCAAAGAGGCAAGAAGAATGGATAATCGGGCAAAAGCCAGAAGGGCTAATTTAATGAAGGAGATGGGAGGCGGGATTGATGTGGAGGCTATATTAAACGGAAAGTCGTGATGAGGGGAAGGCATAAATGTTACATCGAAATTTCATTGAGGTCTTGGATGGCGTTTGGATTACTTTGAAGATGTAAATTAAAGTTGCTCTTTGTTTCGTCAGATTCTTGTACTGTTAAACTACCCTCCATTTGAATCCCTTCTCAGAATACCAAACGAAACTCAGTTCGCTGCGTGCGTAAAGCCAAAGACCTACGTGCAGTATTGTACGGCCCCTAGCACTCTATATCTCAACTATAATATAACCCTGTGCCTGCTCTAAAGTCCTCGTCCAGCCAGACAATTGGCCAGCAACCGCAGTAACTCAAACGGTCAAACCCCATCATCTCTTATCAGATCGCATCTAACCTTATCGGACAGCCCCTCTTCACCCCACCATCCTGCCAACTACTCGTAGACTATCATACTCGTGCCGATCAACGGAACCAAGATAGTTAACGAGCGCCTCTGGCCTGTCCAATACCGGTATTGCCCCAGGAACCTATCGTACACTGGCAGTTGGCGAAACCCACGAACAGAAAAAAAGATCTGCTCCATCATATCACCACCACCACTTAGGCTCAGTCAGGCCTCACTCTAAATAACGCAACTCAGCTACCGAAAGTCTAAGGGCGCAAGATAGCCCACCAGAGTAATCATGTCGGCAGCCGCTAAAGGAAAGCTCATCTGTACCAAAACTTGCCCCCCCCCCCCATCGGTCCTCTCCTCCCTTCTCCTTATCAATGCTAACCACCCACAGTCGCCCCCCAAGACGACCAATACACAGTCTCAGCTCTCACCTCTACAGATCTCTCCCCATCCCCACTAACCCAATTCCACACCTGGTACACAGCAGCCCAATCGCACGCCATCCACCAGCCCGAGACCACGACCCTGTCCACTGCGCACTTGCCCTCGGGCCGCGTGAGCGCTCGTACAGTCTACCTCAAGGAACTCGACGCCCGCGGCTTCGTCGTCTACTCCAACTGGGGCACTTCCCGGAAGGCAGCAGACGTGGCCAGCAACCCTCGCGCAGCGCTGACCTTTTACTGGCGCGAGATGGAGCGGCAGGTGCGTGTCGAGGGTGCCACGGAGAGGCTGACGGAGGAGGAGAGTCAGGTTTACTTTGACACAAGGGTTCGCGGGAGCAGGGTTGGGGCCTGGGCGAGTCGGCAGAGTGTCGGGATTGAGGGTAGGGATGTGTTGGACGGGTGGGTTAGGGAGGTGGAGGAGAGGTTCAAGGATGAGGAGAAGATCCCCGTGCCCCCGTTTTGGGGCGGGCTGAGGGTCGTGCCGGATTATGTAGAGTTTTGGGTGTGTTTGCTCTCCTGCTTCTGCGGGCCAAGTGTGTTTGCTAACGCTCGCAATGTGTGCGTGTCTGTGTGGATAGCAAGGGTGTGATATATCCGCTCATTCACTACTCATTCCCCTCGCGCTCTGAAAGACATGTATGCTAATACCCCTCTCCAAAGCCGTCCCAGCCGTCTCCATGACCGCTTCGCCTACACCCGCGACTCTATCGACTCCGACACCTGGAAGATCCAACGTCTCTCACCCTAATTCTCCAACTCCACCCCTCCTTCAGTACCAACATCACAAAAAGGAAAAACACAAGAGAAAAAATAGTACCCATAATCGGGGGGAGTCAGTTTTCCTTTAATATAGCTACCTAGTTACACTAAAACCACTTATTTACACTTCTCCATCTATCGTACCCATCCATCACGCAATGGAGATTCTGTGCCCATCAGCAGTGAATAAGTGTACAACCCGACTATGCAAGTAACAGAAAACCCCAAAAGCGGAAAAAATAACAATTTTTTTAAAATTAAAAAAAAATTTCCCCACCACATTGGAAGGGGAAAAGGAAGAGTGGAGTGTATATAATGCTAATGGTAGAAAATGGCAAAACATAACAAAACAAGATAAAGCAAAATAAGCAAAAACGCCCACCTCCCAGCCAGATCGGATCCCAACCCTACCCCGCCTTGCTCTGCCAAAACATGATGAAATATATGAAGAAGGGAGAAGGGCAGTGTGGTATATACACGAAAATGAGACAAGAAAAGGGACTTTTGATATCATACAAGCGGAAAATGGTATAACAGTGCGCGGATCGACTTCGGTGTATGGGTGCTTGTAGAAGTCACACTGTAAGAAGGGGTAAAGGCAAAGAAAAACAAAAAGGCCCCTCATTCTATCTATTAGTGGGGGAATGCCCTCGAGCAAGCAAAAAAAAAACCCCCCGGGGGGGAGGATATTAACGAATAAGATGAAGAAAACCACCATCATAAGGGGGAAAAGAAAAGAAAAGAACATCTACTCCCCCCTCCCCCTCACCAAATCCATGACTCTAACCATGACGGCGCTCGGGTACCCGCGTCCGCTCATCTCGTTCACGACCTTGAGCGCGCCGGCACGATCCTCGACAGTGAGGTATGCTCTAGTCATAGCCTCGTAGGTACTCGGTTCGCGCTTAAGTCTAGCGTTCTCGTCCTTACTAAGGGATTCGTAGACTTCTTCCGCCTTCCCAATATCCTTCTCCAGCGCCCATCCGTGAATGAGCGTGTTGGCAATATACGGTGTCATGCGAACGCCACGGCGCTCCATGTCTGACAGCCATAGCGTGGTGTCCTGGACGCGGTGGTTGGCGACGAGGGACTCGAAGAGGGCTTGGTAGATTGTATTATCGAGTTGGGGTTGCGGACTGGAGGTGGTGGGGTGCAGGAGGGATTTGAAGTGTGAGATGGCGGCTTCCACGTCTTGGAGGACGCACCCCTTTGCGTGGATGAGGGCGGCGTGGTGAGACGATTCCACGGGTTGGTTCTTCGAGCGGATCAGGTCGAGTACACCTTCCGCCGCGGACATGTCCGGAGGGTCAAGGGTTGCATAGGCTTCGATCAGAAGCTTATAGGTGTGCGAAGTAGCCTCGATGCCCAGGGAGGTCATACGGTTGAAGTAGCTCATGACCTTGCTCCTGTCGCGCTTGGTGTTGACGAAGAATTGCATAAGGGAGTTGTACGGTGCCGGGCGGGGCTTGTAATTTGGCATGGCCTCCATTTCTTGAAAGAGTTCTTCCGCGAAGTGCTCGTCGCCGACACGGGTCAAGGCATTGATCATGGTGCCGTAGGTCACGCTGGTGGGTTTTATGCCTAGAGCGCGCATCTCGGCGAAGTAGAAAAGGCAGTCGTCGACGCGGCGAGCTTTTGCAAGTTTACCGATAAGGGCATTGTACAGGAAGGAGCTGGGGAGGACGTTCTCCGCCTTGGCCCGCTCAAAGATCTTGAGAGCCTCGGAGGCCTCGTCGTACGTTTGGTTTGAGCCTTTGAGTGAAACGATGTAGAGTCCGTAGGTATTGGCAGATGGAGAAGCTCCCATCTTTAGCAATTCCTCGTGGTACACGGCAGCCTGTTGTCGGTTTCCGACGGAGAGTTGTCCAGCAACCATGGAGTCCAAGAGAACACACCAGACGTATCTAACAGAACGAAACTCCATAAGGAGAGGCGTGTCAGTTCTCGCATTCTGATAGATCTCCTCCATGAATTCCGGCTGGCCTGCACGAGCAGCAGCACCAACCATCCTCGCCAGAGTTGTCATCCTAACCAATCTGCCCGCCCGGCGGGTCTGTTGATACATTCGCCGAGCGTCCGTAAGCCTGACCCTAGCAGCCTTCGTACCCTCGAGAGCATTATCGATAGCCTGTGAAACCTTAACGTCGGTTTTGGCCCAGTAGGGGTCATGGTTATCCTCGGCAACAGCAGTCTCTCCTTCACTGGGAACCAGGGTGGGCGACGCAGCCACATCCTCGGTCAGCGGCGCCATCGGCAAGTTCTCCCAAACCTCTTGGGCCTGCACGAACGCAGTCCATTTCGCCAAAAGACCCTCATCGATACCACGGGCCGCAATAACACCATCGACGGAAACCTTCACAGCCTTGCTAAGAGGAACTCCGGCATTCAGCGCGAGAGTCAGCATCTGCTCAAACTTCCGCATGTCCTCCGAAACCGATTCCCCAGGCTGTTGAAGAACGCCAGCCTGAATCTGCAGAAGAAGGTCCAACTGCGGCAATGTCAACCCAAGTATCCGCTGCTCCCCAAAGAGTCCCATAACAACCCTGGAAGCCCGAGTCCCCACACGCCCACAATGCCGCATACCAAAACCAGTAATGTCGAGTGCGACCCCATGAGTAAGAAGATCCTTTGCGGCAAGCCTATCGATCAAGTCCTCAAACGCTTCCTGTAGATATCCCGCCCTCAGAGCAAGCGGAGCGCCAAGAGGCTTCTCCATAAAGAACTCGCTAAATTGTTTAAGTACCACCAAGGCTTCGTTTGTGAGCCGATTCTCAAAAAGCATCATGGAGTACACAACAGCAGCCTCGGCATCCGGTCCATTAGACAAATTCCTCTCGGAAAGATCATTCCAAACGGCCCTAGCGTGCCCAACCTTTCCCTCCTTTACACAGAGATTCAAAAAAGCCATCTGGGCAGTCGAGTTGCCGTGAAGGTTGATACCATGGAGGCGGGCATGAGCCATGAATTCCGAATAGAGCTGATTCGCGAGCTCATAATCCCCCAAATCCGCAACTCCAACAAGAACCCTCGACAGCCCAGGATATTCCGATGTCCCGGCCATACGACCCACGATCCACTTCCTGGCAGACCCCAAATCACCGCGCTGTAGGAAACCTTTGATTATGGCCTCCGCCAGCCACTGAGAGCGACGGGCGTCTTTGCTAACACCTACAATTTTCTCCAGGAAGGACAGCGCGCCAGCAGGATTGCCAGCCTCCATGTAAGCAAGAATCAATGCTTCGTAAACCAGATATCGCTCATCGATACTTCCCGGCCTTCTCGAGGCATCCAGAGCACAGTAGTTGTTGTACGTCTCAACAGCAGAGCGGATATCCCCAGCCTTCCCAAATCCCTTGATAAGAGAAAGCGTAGTGTCCAGGCTCGGCAACACGTCATGCACTTCCATGTGTGTATACGCCTTGAGCATGTCCTCCTCACGGCCATTCTCAGCACATGCCTCAATAAGGATGGAATATACAGGCTCGGAAAATGCACGCTCCACCCGGACTTCTGTGCTAGCGTAAAATATGTCCAAAGCCATGTCCAAAGACTTTTGCGAGTGGATCTCATCCAATTCCCGCTCCCGGGACGGAACGACAAAGCCGAATCTCAGAATATCATCTTCAATTCGCCGAGCAAACTGTAACGAGGATTTACTGCTTGCGGCAAGGTAGTCGATAAGGATGGAATATGTGACAGTGCTGGGTGAGACCTTGTTCCTGAGCATGTCCTGGTAAACACCCAGGACCCGAGCGATACCACCGGCGCCGGTTTGTATGAGCGCAACGAGAACATGGTTGTAGGTGGTGGTACTGGGCTGCACACCTTCTTGGACCATATGGTCAAAGAGGGCCAAGATTTCATCATACTTCTCCGCCGTTCGTAAATCGCGAAGCTGATCGTTATATTGAGCGGTAATACCAGATACCTCTGGCGAAGCGGGAACCAGTGTCTCCTCGGACGAAGTAGGTGAAGGCGCCAACTCAGCCTCGGCATCCTCCACGGGAGCGAGCTTCTCGGTGGGTAAAATCTCCGACTCCTCCTCAGCGGCAGACTCGACAAATACAGCCTCCTCCCCCTCCTCCCCTTTGACAAGATCGCTTGACGGCAACTGAGCCTCCGCGTGCGCCAGGGAAGACGATCGCGACCTGGGCAAGCCCACTTCCAAGGACGGCGGATTCTCCAGCAATGCCTTCTGCTGCTGCTGATGTTGCGCCTTGGACCATAATATCTTTCTCGAGAACAGGTATTTCCTATTCTCCTTTTCCTCCTTATCATCTACGGCCTGCGACTGAGCGGCGTAGTAAGCACCCAAACTATCGCTGCCCTGCCCATCCTTCCCCGGCGCCGCCCGACCAGAGTTCGCACCGCCAAAGGCAGTGTGCAACCGAGCCGGCGCATTTTGCTGCCCTAGACGGGAGAGCTGGACGGTGGAGGAGGCATACGAGGATTGTGTTGCGGCAACGACGGACTGGGCATAGCCGTTGACGAGGTGCTTGGAGATGCTCTGGCGAGCGAGGGTGGTGAATGGCTTGAAGACCATTCAGAGAACTGGTATCTGGAAATTTTCTCGAGTCATGTTAGTCTCCGCAGGGATTTTCCTTTTTCCTCTTTTTCCGTATAGTCATACAACCACGCCGGCACGAATACGAATGGTGGGGAAAGTAAGAAAGGGAAAAAAGGTGCACAAAACTCAATTCCCGGGAGGATAGAAGGGGAAGAAGGGAGAAAGAAAAAAAGGTCGCACCGGGGACAAACGTACGTGATTATTCAGGAGGGTTATTGCAGTCATTGGCAGACGACACAGTAATGCCGTCTAGTGAATTAAAGGTGGGATGATGGAGATGAAAAAGTCTGATGATTTCCGGTTCTTGGGACACGGAAGGGAGGAATGAGGAGAAAAAAGTGAGACGATGTTTGCAAGTTATGGAACGAGCAATGGCGGTGGAAGGGGAGGCGTGAGGGAGGGATGATGAGAAGAAGGAGGTTATGGGGTGCGGGAGGAGAAGGAGGAGGGGGGGGGTATGGCTTGTCTTGCGGGGCTATGGGGTGAGTCTATGGGGAAGGGGGGTGAGAAGAGAGGAAAAAAGGAAAAAAGGTTCAGGTATGATAATAATATTATTAGGATACCGGTAGACTAGCAAAACCCTAGGGCGAGAGGGTTCGGGCTTCTTTTTTTTTTTTTTTTTCTTTTTTTTTTTTTCTTCTTCTCTCCCCGAGTCCCCCCACAATGGGGAAAAAAAATTCAACGCTCGTAGTGTAGAGACTGAGACCCAACTACCGGTAGTATGATCCGGTAGTGATTTTGATAACCAACGCGGGGAAAGCAGACTAAGAGGATATCTTTCCCGCACAGAAAGCGCAGTCCAAAGAGAAGTACCGTACCCGCACAGCACTCGTACTGTGCGGAAGGCAATGACGATCAAGGGACAACCGGACCATGATACGATACCACCACCGCCGCCACCACCATCACCGCCAGCAGGTTACCAAAAGTTGCAAAAAATGCCCAAACTCGAAGTTCTAGACGCGAAACAATTACCGTACATAGGATACACCATCAACAATCATCTCGAACCTCAGCCCGGGCCAGGCGAGAGGAGGGGAAAGCAGCGCACAAACAGAGGATCAATCACTGCACGACGACAATCGAACAGGCAATGACACAGCCAGAGCCGTGCAGTGCGCGAAGAGGAGCAAAGGGGGAGCGGGAGGACAGGAGATGGATCATTGATTCGCTCCCCGAATCTCACTTTTCTCTCATTTCTCACTCACGCGCGCATCCGAAGAAAAGAAACCGGAAGGGAGAGAAGAGGCACGGAGGATGAATCGAGTAACAACGTCAGGCAGCCATCACGGGTAACCCTTTCCCTTCCCCTCCTCCACACAACCTCGCCGGAATCAGATGGACCCGGCCGAAGGAGTGCCCATCCATCCTTCCATTCATCGAGGCTCAGTACTTGTACTCGAGCAGACTAAGTTACCAATTTACACACGCATACAGCACCTGCAATCGAATGGAAGATCAGATAAAAATATGTATAGAATGTCATAGCGAAATTTGCCTTGACAAGGGCAGAAATGTTGCAAAGCCCATGAGGCGAATTCAGGGAAAAAAAATGGCCTATCGTACAATTCCATCCACCGCCGTTTCAAAGGGGAAAAGAAAAGAAGAAGAAAAAAAGAAAACCCCATCCATCAATCATGAGACCCAATCCCCCCCTCCCCGGCACAGTAGACTAAGTTAAACTTTCTTCTTCACAGGACCAATATCCCCCCGACCCCTCCGAATAATCCCGTTCCCTCCCACCGCCCCCCTTGTTTCGCCAGACCTTGCCCGCGAAGTGAACATTCATTCAGGCCCTGCTGAGGCGGACCGCCGTGCTCGGGAAACAGGATACGGCGACACCCACTAGACACTCGGGTCGAAGGTCTAGCGAATGTCATTCGGGGGGGTTTTTTTTTCTCCTCGCTAGGTTGCTTTGTTCGATGAGCACTGTACCGTACTATACTCGTAGAGGAACAAGCGAATGAATTCAGATGGATGGGCCAAACAAGATGTCTATTCCAGTCCTCCCCGAGCACAGTAGAGCAACGAGGAAACCATGCGATAACCGCCCAGAAAAGCCTGAGGCAGGATGCAGCGCGAGAAGCATTATCATCATCATCGCCATCATCATCATCATCATCACCGTCATCCTGCCCTATCAGACTGTACCCGACCAAACTCACCTCACCTCTCCTCCCTCTCCATCCATCCATCAAAAAGCACAACGAACCATCCCGTCGTGCAGTGCTGTAACCCCAAAACACACAATGACTCCAACCATTCCCCTCCCCTCCTCCTCCTCCCAATCCGATCCCTGAGACTCTGTACAACAGCCCTCAGCTCCCTTCACTTCTTCCCTCCTTCCTCCTCCAAACACCAACAGACCACAGCCCCCTCCCTCCTTCAAGAGCCCTAATTATACCGGTATTGTAAACTACTCGTACGAGTACCATAGCATCACACGGAACGGTACGCTACCGCATCGCATTACGCGTCTTTTAGCTCAGCCGGGTACTCCGGGTTCCTGGTTACGGAGGTGGGGCGTGGGGACACGGTGTACAGTACGGTACCGATACTTTAAGCAAGTAACGGTAACTGTGCGGCGAAAGGAGGGGGATGGGAGCATGTGATACCGGTACTGTACCCAGCTCGTCATGGCCTATCACTCGTGTTTAGCTTTTCTCTGTCATGATACAAAAGAGCCCGGAGGGGCATGGTCTGCGACACTATATAGACCGGGCCTTTCTCGGGGAAGATTTATCTCAAGGCTAGGGACTTACAGCACTAGTGTCTTTTGTTGGTCCGATGTTTGTGCATTCTTTCTACGGAATTCAAATTACCTCATGTACTATCACCCGCTCCCTCTACCCGCTCAAAGGTGAAAAAACACACCTTTTTCGAGAAATTTGAACCTTGGGGGTTGGTTTGCTCTCCAATTTAGCTTCTCCATGGGTTACAGTGCCAGAGACGACAAAGGCGGGTGCAAATACGACACCCGTACAGCACCATATCGAATCCATGATACTTTTCCAAAACTAGGCTTCCAAATTACCGTAGCTCAGCCGACCACCTTCTCGCTAACCGAAACGAAAATGGCGGGGAGTGTCACGAACTTTTTCCTCCACAACTTTTGGCGGCCATAGTTATTCTGGTCGAATTTTGGCACGTTCCTTGTACGGTACTCGTGCTTATGGTAAAGGTGTCTTTTTCGTTGTTTTTTTTTCCACCCCGCATCCTATGGGTAAGTTATACCGTCGCACACGACAAGAGCAGAGTTCGGCATAGCACAGCCATAGCGTACCGTACCGCTAGCACGGGGCACACCGATAGGATTATATCAGGAGCGTGACCTATATATAATACGGTACATCATGGGAGTACAGTACAGTACAGTACTCTATCACAGCAAGGTTGGAATGAATCACATAAACTTGTACAGTACAATAGTATCATATATATCATTCACACATTATATACCGTAATAGCACAGTATGATTCCAAGGGCGGGTAACTTATAATACAAGTAAGAGCAAGAGTATATATAATACAGTATCGTACCCACAATTATCATTACTAGCCCGCAAAAAGCCGTTCAACCCCACCCATACGAGTACTCTGCAGTAACGTACAAATATAATATAATACTGTGCGAGTACGGTAGTGTACATGCCCGCCGCCGCTCCAGCGAGATGGAACCGGGCTCGTATGATATGATACTGTAGCAAGAGTAACAAGCACGACACGATAAACCGTATGGATTGCGTGGTGGAGTGTGGTGTAGGTGCAAGCATTGGGAAAACCTTCACCCACATGTTCACTCTCCCCCCCACACAAGCGGGCACAAAAAAAAAAAAAAAAAAAAAAGGAAAAAATATAGTGCATGGTATCCAGCATTAAAATTATCGTGCCTGGCCGCCTACCCAATACCAGCGCTCTAGTAGACTAAAGATATAACGTGTAAAGAACTGGCCTATGCACCTCGAGTCCCTATCCCTTTACCGATACCTCTCAAAACCATCATGAAGACCAAGGAAAAAAGGGAAAAATCTTTTTATAATCTCAAAACACATCAACCTCGGTCTCCACCTCAAAGTTCCCCCAATCCTGCTCATCAAGCTTAATCTCCCACTGCTCCCTCTCCCGTCCATCTCCGTACAGCACCTCGCACACGCCTCCGACGGGGATATCCATAACCGCATCGGTGCCTCTATTCCACAGAGCTTTCCAATCCCTCTGCCCGTCATTCTCTAACACCCCCGTGCCCTTCCATCGCTCGCTGACGCTCTCCGCCCGGCCCCTGCGGGCGGATATCTTCTCCTTTTTTGGGCGTGCTCGACGGGACTTCATCACCAGGCCGTCGTCCAGAGGACTTATCGGCGAGATGGCTTCTTCACCGCTGCCGCCGATGTTGACGCTCACGCCGCTGTTCCCCGTAATCTCGTCCTCTGGGGCTTCGGGCTCGGTGCCGAAGTCGACGTTGGCGATCTTTGCGGCGTCGTCAACGATGCATTCCAAGTGGTCTAGCCCCCGCGTCAAGTAGCCGGTGTTGTAAGCTGCCAGGGCACCATAGATGTAGACCACCAGCATGACCAGGAAACTTGGTAGAGCGAGTGCCCACCATCTACTGGGATAGTAGTGTATTCCCACAGCGTGCAGTAATGGCGATGGTGCGAACGACCAAATTATGTATATTAGGAACGCGAGGCTGGATACGAGGTACAGTACGAAGCCATAGTATTCGTATGTGGGCACTTTTGGCGCGGCTCGCGGCGTGGATTGGGCGATTCGGGAGGAGGTCGCGACGGCTTCGCTGTCGGAGGAGTCGGGGGTGGTGGGACGGGAGGGAGTGAATGGCGGGCGTAAAAGTGAAGTTAGTGAAGGTGACGGTGGTAATGGCTAGAGCATCAAACGGGAGATTCATCAGCACCGGGCGTCAGGGTCAAGGGGAGCGGACACCGATGCGCACTCACAGTCGGCGGCCGATTGTAAAACGGCGGAGCAAACGAGCTCGGGTGTAACATCCCACCGCTAATTCCTCCCATCCCATTGAAACCCCCCCCGCTCAGTGGTAATGACATCGAAGAACTGCTGGAAGATATTGCATCGTCATCATCGGAATCCGTCAAGGCGCAGTTTCCACCACCACCGGTTCCACCGCCACCCCCATTTCCTCCCGCTCCGATACCACCAATCCCGCCGCTACCACTACCGAAGGAATTTCGTGTTCGCCGGTTCTCATTGCTACTCAGGTGAGACGCGAGGTTGGGAGAGGAGGCGGAGGTGGCGATCGGAGGCGGGTGGAGTGAGGAGGAAGTTGGTCGGGGCATGAAGATGAGAGGAGGTTGAGGGATGAAGGGGCAGCGTAGTAACCGCAAGGGCTGGCAGAGAAGCGAGAAACTATGATGACACCTGGAGCTCTACTACTACTACTACTGTACAGCGCGGCACACTGTCTTGCTGAAATGATGACCACTCTGTGATGCGCATCCATGAGCGGAAGGAGAAAAGGAAAGCATCTACTGATCGCTTCAAACGATTCAAGCGTCTTACTTACAGCACTTTGCCTGTGGTGTGTATCGAAATTTGTCACGACAAACTCGTGTGTGTGTGTGTTATTGTTATTTTTTCCCCCTCACCCTTGACGCCGGGGGGGAGGAGGAGTCGACGACTATTACGGTACCTTGAGGACCTACGTACGGTGCATGACAGCTCACGAGAGAAGTAGATTTTGAGAAGAGAGGGAAAACGCCTCCCACAGCCATACATTATTATTATACGCATTCATGTCTCCCACCTCCCCCACTACCCAGCCTTAACGCAACCACCTCAAGACCAGGTAACAAAAGAGGAAGAAGACTATGATTCCACCATAGAATATCCACTTATCCTGCATAGCCCTCCGCTCAATCATCCTAATTGTATCCCTGCTCACTCCCAATGTATTCGCGACGTTGTAAAGCTTTCGTTGAGTGCGCTTCAACATCTGTCTCTGTTCACCCAGGTCCGCCAATACGGCCCTGCCCCGATCGAGAAAGTCATCGAGCTGATCGTTCGTACGGGACATGAAATCTCTTTCCCGGAAGATATTATCTTCTTGGGACATCGTATGAGTCTGGGTGACACCCCCGGCCGGTGCGAACGGAGAATACGGGGAAGGGGCGTTTCTGGTTTGTGTTGTGTTCGCATAGGGGTTCTCGGGGGTCGCGGATGAGTGTCCGCGCCGTCCGAGGAGTTCACTACGAGCGACGGTATGCTCCTAGAATAACCTCATCGTTAGCGCTCGTGCGAAACATTGATGTGGAATCCCCATACAGCATCCGCCCTTTCTCCTTTCAATTTAACAAACTGCTGCTTGAGCTCCGAAATCTCCTTCCTGAAATTCCTGACGCGTTGAAACGCCTTTTCTTGCTTTGCGGGAACGATCTCTCGCTTTGCCATGGAGTCGTAATCATCGATAGTTCGTGAGAGAGAAGCTAATGAAGCGGATATCTGTCCTGAATTTGGTGAGTGAGTACCTTTATTTGATGTCTATGGGCGGGGCTTGGATGATTTTTCCATCATACCTTGTAGGGCTGGTGATGAGGTTCCAGGAGACTCTGCGAATGTACCCAAGTCCTTCTTGATAGACTGTATCTGCTTAAGAGCAGAGTTGAAGAGAGAATTCTAAAAGGTGCTGTGTATTAGCCGTCTGCCGACAGTCCCTGACACGGAAATGTTGAGAGGGGGGTGACTAAGTGTACCATTTTGAGCCGTGGGTTCCTGGCAGCTCCGAGAGCCAAGCTCTGAAACGGTGAGCCTGTTGAAAATACGAAGGCTAGCTTCGACCAGAGAGGGGTTGCAAGAGGGCCGAGTCTCCTGAGGAGGTTCGGACGGTGGACTGGGAGAGGGCTGATAGATGTTTCGCGGGGAATCGATGGTTGTTTCTGGGAGAAGAGGACACCTGGAGGTTGTTGCAACTCACGCCCCTCAGAAGACATTTGAGGCCATCACAACAAGGCAAAAGGGAGTACGGTACTCGTTAACACCCATCCATTTCTGAGCTACAAAGGATTCGGCCAACACCACCGCAAGATTTGCACGAAAATCACTTCAGTTTCCAACAGTGGCAGTTACTCACCTAAATTTTCACAGGTATTCAAAAACATCCAAGAGTTCAAGGCTCAGTAATAATGGTCAATTCCCAACGTAATCTATGCTACAGACCACGGTGGTAACTTGATACATGACATGACAGCTATCGAGGAAAGCAAATTATCCCCAGAAGCGATACAAATGTTAACCCCCCACCCGCAAGTAGAGGAGCTTATTACGAACCTCAGCGTCTGCTTGGGACTCTATACCCATACGCTCTGCTTGGGGGAAATCTTGGCTCAATCTCCTTCGAGATCAAGCCACCCCCCCCCGGCTCTTCCCCGCATCCCTGATAACACATAGTGAAGAAAAAAGTGTAGTAAGGGAAAAATGGATGGGAAAAGGGGTGAGAACAGGGGGGGGAAATGCTGGCGGATTCACAAAACAAGGGGTTCTAAAAGTGCGATGCTCCAGAAATACAACCCATACCCATGTGATGGAAGGAAAAAGAGGAAACGGAAAAAGGAACCCAAAACAAAAAACACCCCGGACGATGCAAAATAATATAGCAACGGCGAAAGAGTCCCGACAACTTCGGTCGCGGTGAACTGCTTTCCCTATTTGAAACCGGAATGAACCCTCCCAATTTACTTTTGATGAGACGTCATGCAGTCATAAAAGAGAGAAGAGGTAATAGTACAATGGAAACGATAACGTTGTAATGAGCCCCAAGGTTTTAAACTTTTCTAAAATCTGTGAAAATCGTAAGCAAAAAATCCCTAACGTCATATGAGAACGGGAAGGAGGGGAATGATACCATTGAGCACAGGATAGATGGATTCGAAGGCAATGTAGATCTCCTCGCGAACTTTCGCACCCGTCAGGACAATCTTCCCGCTCACAAAGATGAGCAGAACGATCTTAGGCTTAATCATTCTGTAGATCAATCCAGGGAACAATTCGGGCTCATAAGAGCTGAAGTGATGATGGCGGGAGGCGAGACCCTCGAGGCGAATGGGGAACTTGATATCACACGAGCCAACGATGTTCTGGATCTTGAAATCGGTAAACTTGGCGTTGAACCCAAGTTTCTGGATGATGCGAGCGTATTTGCGCGAGGCGAGCTTGGAGTCATCCTCGGATTTGGCACCAGTAACGACCATCTTGCCAGACGCGAAAATGAGTGCAGTGGTTTTAGGTTCGCGAATACGCATGATAACAGCGGCGAAACGCTAAAATTGACAGCATAAGCACATCGCTACAAAAGACCGGGGAGACAGCCAGAGTAGCAGAAAGCAAGTTAGTACCTTAGGATTGTATTCCGCGTTCCTAGCATGCAGTGCAATCGTCTTCAAATCCAATCGACAATCAAGATTGACGGTTGCGACGATGTTTCTTTACGCATACCAGTTAAGCTTGATAAGTCAAAACCGGTTACAATTTGGTAGTACTCACTGCAATGTAGGCACAATACCACTCACGGTTGGCCCACCACCTGGGGTCGCAGCCGGAGTGGCGGGAGTGACGACGCCTCCGGGTTGATCGTTGGCCTGCTGTCCGCCCACTTGGACCTTGTGGCTCTCAACATCGGATGGAGGAGTCAAGTCGCCAGCGCCACCGGGAAAGGACAAAGAAGCGGGGCTAGTGAAAGCCTTGGCTTGCTGGGCATTCTGAGGGTGAGAAATAATGGCCGCCATAATTAGGATCGATGAGGAAAGCTATGGATTCGTGATGAACGGAAGGGTTGATGAGGTTGTGGATGTTTGCGGAAAAGCTTCGGGTGGGCGGGTTGATGTAGGAGAGCGGAGGTGGAGTGGGGTATCTGGAAAGGGCGGTTTAGGGTAGGTAACGAGGTTGATCGAGGAGAAGAACAACCAAATGTCTCCCCTACTTTAGGAACGATGATATGGGGCTTGTAGAGAATGTAGTCGTCCTGGTTTCCAAGAGACGAATGGCAAAGGGTAAGGGTGATGAGCCGGTGATGGATTCTATCGTTGAAAGATCGATGAGTAATGGCGATCCGACAGAGAGCCTTCCTGACCACGCTGACTAATCGCTCGGGTGTGACCGTGCGGCGATTTGTAGAAAAGTAATAAAAGGAGTGAAATTTGAGAAGAGTGGAGAGATCGCTTCAAGCAGAACGAACACTGATCGGGTCGTTGTAGAAGTCGATATTTCGGGTCTTGTCAGGGTGGTGGACAAAACGGGGATATGATGTTTACGCGTGGAGGAGACCAGAGGTTTTTAAAGGGAGGGTGGAGGGATGCCCGTCCCTTTATATATTCTAGTGCCAAGACCCAGCCTCGTGCCGCGCGTCTGACTCAATCACACAACGCCGCTAAGCTAACCAATTTCGGGACATAGAATGAGTCGCAGACTCCTTCTCAACAAGGCTACAACAAAGATTTGCCTCCCACCACACCCAAAAGCAGCGACGGTCGCAACACGAAGGCAAAAATACTATGATACTGTACCATGTCTACGAAGTACCGTGCATACGCTAACACACACCAGCTACACCCGTCTCCAGAAATGTAACCGAAGGAACCGACGAGAAACTCTGGGGAACAAAACCGTCCAAGAGGACAGGTCCCTCACCAGAAAAAAATGGAAGGGGCGAAGAAAAGGAGATGGTGAGAGGAAGGGGAGAAGGGAGAAAAGGGAAAGGAGAAAGGAGAAAGAAGAAAGGGGGGAGAGAGGAAAAAAAAAAAAAAAGTCCACTTACCCTCCGGTGTGTGAACATGGGGCCAGAACATCCCAAGGCGTAAGAGCCTCCTTTCTTTTCTATCCCAGAATGGGTGGTTAGTGACTGCCGCGCGCCCCTGTTCAGTCAGTTCCACGCAGCTCCTTGTTTTTCTTGCGTCCCAGCTCGCATCACTCACTCACTCACACACACTCCCACCCAGCCTCCCTTCCCCCCTTCCCTTGTGTGCCGTTGATGTGGTCGCTTTGTCCCCTTCATTCGCCCGCCCTTCCCAACAAGCAGTGCCCCCCCCGGGAGCACGTCTCAACCGAGGGAGGAAAAAAAAAAAAATCGCTTGCTCCGCTGTTCAAAGTCGTGTCCATCCATTCTTCATGATTCTTCGCCAAAGTTTTCCCTGTTCCCCCTAAGAACCCGCCTCCCTAATTTCTCGCCCTTTGCTCGCAACAAGTTCGACCCTCTGCGTTTTTCCTCCATGGAAAGATAAAAATGTCGAAACAATGAATGGAAAAAGGGTTTGCATTAGTTTGACGGTGACGGCCACTCCCCTAGGTGCCGGCTGACAAGCACAAAAAAAAAAACATGAGAAGGGAAGGGAAATCCCTGCCATCAAGGTGGAGAAGGGGTGAGAGAAAGAAGATCAAAGGAGGAGCGGATGGAGGGGAAGGGGCGAGAAGAAGAAAAGAGGAGGTGGTGAAAAGTGCTTGCAATTTCGGAAAACCCCTTCAGACGTAATCTCAAACAAATAGATTTTCTCTTGGCCAACGACTGAAAGGAGAAGGCTGTGGTTATTTTCGGCTCGCCGCGGATTACCGTATGTTTTTCCCCCCCTCGATATGACAGAAAAGCAAGTTACAGTAACGTATCGCCGCATGCAGCAACTCTTTCCTCACCTCTGTCGATTAACCCCTCACGGCCTGGGCTGGGACTGGTCAGGACTGGTCACCGCCTGCCCTTCGTTCCACTGCAAACCTCTTTTTACCGCCCAGGCAACCACTCGCCCTGTCTGATATGACAAGGTCATTGTATCACGACAAACCGAAGCGTGCTACGCACACTGGACACCCTCTCCGCTTTCTTTTTCTCCACAAAATGCACGAGTGAATGAATACCGGTATGACAATGGAATGCCTTTCATCAATCTCGGCGAATCCGCCTCTCTCTCCCACCAGTGCGGTCACCGTAATCTTTCGATGGACCGGTTGCTAGGGATGGATTCGGTGAGGATTAGGGGTGAGGATTAGGGGCGACGAGGAATTACCGGTTATCGATTCGAGGATGGCTGCACAGCAGCACCGGTGCAGTACCGCATGGTATCATACCGGTGTCGTGCCGGTTTGTACATGTACTGTACGAGCACATACTGGTACCGTACTGTACGATGCGGTGATGAAACCAACAACAACGACGGATGTCAAACAACCAACTGCAAGGTTGTGCTTGTACCATTCACTCACCCCTTCGGACACAAGCAGGTGGGCGGTTTACTCGAGGACAAGGCGGGCGGCCGTCAGTCGCAAACAGAAACAATTACTGTCTTCTGTATGGTTGTCAGTCCCCCTGATCATCAAAGTTTGATGCGACACCGCTGCGGACTGCAACCTCCCTTATCACGTGTTACCACCCGAGACCTCGCCCAACTTCTGGCACGCAGATTGTGTCTCTGGAACCAACTATTCCTTCCCTCTCTTCTTTTCTCACCGCATTTCCATCATACTGATCGGTACACCAAACGATAAAATCCACCCGGAGCCCTCGCATCCTGCTGGGAATGGGGGAGGTATCAATATCTACCGGTATATCTATAAATCCGCTCGACGCTTAGGACCGAATCTCGAGTGGATAGAGCATAGCGCAACACTCCCTTGCTCTCCGGTAGGCTAGAGATTTTTATGGAGGAAAGAGGCTTTTGTGCTCCAGCTTAAGCCACCTCGAGTAACTTGTTTGCGCTATGGTCGGAATCCGAGTAACGTTAAGCGATGGAGAGCTTCGGCAAGGCTGTGTATTCGGTCTCACGGAGGTCACAAGCCTCACAAACGTCGAAGCAGACTCCCGACATCGGGACTCCATCACGGTACAAAAATTTACGGCTGCCGGATAAGGTCCTGTCTCATGGATACAAATATGCGCGATTCACCGCCCCCGTTTTCATACTGCAACGGGCAATCAATCAAGGAACTTGTACGACAAGGAATGGGTGTGGCTCTTGGATTTAACACAATGTTAGAGACTTGATCTCACCACCTTTGCCCTCAGTACGGAAGCTTTTATCATACAGCCCTATCGCTCAGAGCTTGACCGTCAAAAATTGCCGGTACAGGGTACCAGCGTGCCGTATTCATGGCCTGCTCTTCATCTCCTTGTCACAAGAATGCTTGCACCGACACACTTTTTATAGGTACTGGTATTCAGCATGAAGTACTCGGGGGGTACCTTAAGTCGGGCGATACCCAGATATGGTAACTAACCTATGGTGGAGCTGACAGGGGTTTGTAAAGGGTTGGAACAGAGGGAGTCGTGTTTAGGGGCGTTTCCCGGCGTTTTTTTGTATGATGGAAAAAAGTCGGGCAATACCCAGAATCGGCAATAAACTCAGACATTTCCAGGGTACCGGCACGAGTACCAGAGCATACCGAACCTGAATTTAGTGCGGGCCCCCCAGATGTACCGTAACGCACAGGTACGGTTCCCGAGTACAGTACCAATACCGGTACAACAGATCTGAGAAGCCCGTTGTACGGAGGTACAGCCCATAAGTTTTGTAGGTTCCACAAGCGAGGCTCGCTGCCGTCAGCCCCTGTGGAACGTACAAAACTTATGGGCTGTACCTTCGTATAGAGCTTCGTTTTATACCGGCAGGCACAGAAGGTGCGGGCGTGGGATAACGATCTCTACTACAAACATCACGGGTTCCACAAACTGGAAATTGGGCATTGGGTAACCGAGGCGTTTGCATTCCCTGTTATGATAGGGTCATTGAGGGAAAAAGAGGCTTTCCCCGTGGTATCATATCATGCTCTAGTACATGCTCCGACAATCACGATACCGTAGTCCAGTACCAATACTGGTCTAATCAAAAAGAAGTAAGATATTACCGGGTGCTTAGTTTCTTGGGAAGAACTACCGTATCCGACCGATGAAGGCATAGACCCCTCCCCTCATAACTCCCATGAACAATCATTTCCAACCCCAAATCATCTACTTCGACTCCTCGTCCTCGTCTTCAAAGCCGTGAATCTGCAAACCGTTAGATCCAAAAAGCCCAAAACACCAGGCCGGCAGAAAAAACACACACCTTGCTCGCCAGCCCAATCCATTCATCCATCCCCTTTATAACATACTCCTCCTCTGGCGCTATATCATGACCCCAAACCACAACATGGTCAAAGTTCGCCAACCCCTTAAATATTCTAACCTCTCCCTTTTCCTCCTCTCCCTCTCCCTCTCCCTCTTCCTCTTCCACCGGCCGATTCCTCTTCGACCTCTCGATCACATCCGTAGGGGCTTCATCCGTAACCGTTAATACATGCCCTACCCCCCAATCCATTATTAGCCCTTTGCCCTCAATTCTATCCATCCAATCAAATCCACTGGCTAACAAACCAGAATACCCCTCGGGCAGCGAAACCCCCTTCCCAATCAACCTCCTCCCGCGAAAATGCGCAACCTTAGTTCCTATTGAACCCAATCCAACCAACCCCACGCCACACCCCCAATTAGCACATCTCAACCAAGCGTGAATGAATAAAAAAGAGAGTGAAATAAAAACCGTCAACTTCTCCGGCATTCACAACCCAATGCTTCGTAGCGTTTGCGCTGCCGGTATATTTTACATGGCAGGGGAGGAGGTGAATCGTTCCGGGGGCTTCCTTGGAGGGCTGAATTATGAGCGTATTTCGTCCGCTCATTTGTTTTTTTTTTTTTGTTTCCTATCGTAAAAATGGCTTCTGCGCGAGTGGGTGTGGGTGTGCTGAAGGAAGGAGGAATTGACCCCGAACCAGAGGAAAAAGGAGGGATCCGGAAGACGCGTCTGGAGGATAGCGGATTCTTGGCGGTTTGCGCGGTGAGCTGCCGTACCGTAGATTAAAAGGTTAAAAGTACCGTAATTGACTTTTTTTTTTTCTTTTTTTTTTCTTTTCTTCTTTTCTTCTTTCTTTTTTTTTTTTTTTCCTCCGTTCCGCACGCGAGCGATAGGATGGTGTATGTCTGTCGGCCGGTCGGATCAGCGAATGTACATAATCCGTTCACTCCAATCCAATCCCTCAGAATCGTAAACAAACAAACAAGCAAACCAACAAACCGAGAGAGAGAGAGACAAGGGAAGTGAATTTCTTAATAACAAACAAGCTTCGGGATCGGTCGAATATCACATCGCATCGCATCAACCAATTACATACACCATGTCACAGACAACGGAACAAACCCGACCCCCTCCCCCACTCCACTCCGGTCATCTCCCCGCCGCCGCTGCCGCCGCCGCCAGAAATCATTTCCGGCATGGCACACTACAAATATCATACTGTACGAGTACCGTAGGCAACAGTAACGGTGCCATGTCCCCCCCCCCCCCCCGCCCCTCCCACGGTATGACATCATCATATCCCTCACATCATATCAAACACGTACTCTCACTCGGCGCGATACTGGTTCGTGTTGCCCCTTGCATTGGTTAGCGAGTATGTTAGTATGGTTGGTTACGGCAGTCGGGGTTCGCCCCCGCCGGTGGGTCCGTTGTACTCGTAGCGTGATGGGTGGAGCAGCCTAAAAGCGACGGTAAGTTAGTCCACGAGTAGTGTCAGTCGGTCTCCTAAGGATGACGGTGTCGGCGATAATTGTCTTGGCAACGCTCGATCGGCGATAAACAAGCTATCCATACGGTACTGTACTGTAGTTGGAACAGTGGTATCGTGGATGGGTGGGCTGTCATTCCGGTTTTTGCTTTGGGAAGCAAAGGGGAGGAGGAGGAGGAGTGGCGGCCTGTTGCACCAGTATGATAGGAGGCCGGAGGGTTTTGTTAGTACGGTATCATAGGTCCCTTCCTTCGAGCCCCGGTGCTCAGTCGACAGGAGCAGAAGTGTGTCCGTCCGTCCGCTTGCCTGTCTGGATCAGAGATCCTTTCCCGGGGGAGGGCAGTCTATGAGCTCGAGTTACCGTAAGTTTGAGTATTTTTACAGCGGCAAAACATCAGCAATCGAGAAAGCGAGTGAGAGCTGGTGAGTATCTTTATACGTGGGTGAATTCCAGAAAGAAAGAAAGAAGAGAGGAAAGAAAGAGCATTGGATACGGCATTTGGAGAAAGGAAAGTGTGTGTTGTCTATTTACGCTTTTTGGTCCTTGGGTGATTGATTGGTGCAGCTCTTCTTCTTTATCTTATGATATGTATGTGCGGCCGGTGTCTTGCGCTACGGCATGCCAGACTGTATGATAACTCGAGGATATACCGGTAGCCCAATACAGTACCACACCGTACTGTACGGTATCACTATCAACCACCCCCCTCAAGACCTCAAAGAATTCCAAAATCCCGTCACGTCCCCCGGAGGCTTTTTGCCCAGATTCTAGACTGGCTAACTCGGCTTAGAAACCCGTGGGTTATCATATCATAAGAATTCAGATCTCGCAGGAAGCTCTCGCGTATTCTTCCGACGAAGTAGCGGGCATTTGTTGATTCTGTTATTCTCTCTTTTCCTCCGCCCGGCCGGCGAAGATCCTAGGAGGGAAGCGCTATCGCATCACAGGATGGGAATATAAATTTATGTATCGTTGGATTAGATCCGCTATCGGGTGGTCGGATCACGCTTTTTGATAAGGGTGCTGGTGCAGTACGTAATCGAATGGAATACCGGTGGGAATGATGCTGTAGATAGATGATAGATATGGTACGGTGCTCGAGTTGTGGTAGAGCCCGTGTGGATGGTGGGCTCGCGGTTTTCCTGGGATTTCCGGTAGGCCCCCCCCCCCAGGTCAGTCAGTCCGCTTATCGTATAATAATACCTTAGTCTACCGTGCTTCGTAGATTCCAATGTCTAGAGCGGAAAGTGACTCATGGTGTGATATACTGTACGAATTTTGTAGCGTGTGGAATTAAATTTACCGGTATACTTGTACTGTGCCCGGTTCGGATATATATATATATATCGGGCTGTTCACCTGTTATTTCCCTGGGCTTGATACTGGCTAACCTACATTCTGAAATGGGAATGGGAGATAAAACATTTGATAAAGCCTACGGCAGGTACTGCTTTATCGCTTTGTGGCGGTCGATTGGGGTTAAAGGTGGGGAGATAGAGGGAGAGAAACTACTCGTACAATAATATTATGATACCGGTATGATAATATCATATGATTAAAGGATGCCGCGTTGTAGACCTAGTTTATTTCGTAAAACTAGGGCCGATACTCCCACTATCCATACTCGTACACGTTGAGCGCTAGCTCCAACTGCGAGTGGGACCCTCCAGGGCGAACGACCCGCCAGCAAGTGGCCACGGGCAAACAATCGGACAGCATACATACAATGCCGTGCGCAACCTCTTCTATCTAGCGCTATTCTACTTCCTGTAATAAATCTTCTTCAACTGGAAATGCAATTGTAAAATCCCTTTATCGAACGAGCTCCTGAATCCCCTCTCTCTCTTTGCAGAGTAATCCCATTCCTTATCAACAATCCTGAACGCCAAGTCCTCGTACGGAGGTCCGGCAATGAACCTGATAAGGCACGTATCCTCCTCCCCTGCTGGTGCGAAGCTTTGACCCCTCTTGCGCCCACCTTCACGCTCTATACGGTATGTGGGAGCTTTGGTCTTGTCGATGAGGTCCGGGTAGAAGATATTGAACTTGTATCCCTGAACGACACGGGGTGGGGGATTGTCGTGGTCGTAATGTGTTTGGTTGTATTTGTTCCATTCGTATCCCATCTGGACACGATTGAAGTAACGGGGTTTACGGGGACGGTATTTGCTCGCCCAGGCTGGTTTGGGGCCCGTCGTGGTAACTTCCTCTTCGCCGGTGAAGATTTCTTCGTTGTCGCCGACACCGCGGGCAACTTCCCGTTCGTAGAGGGCTTTCGTAGCTTGCGAGAAATCGTCGTTATCGAAAACTGCGGCAAAACGGGAGGTTGGTGGGGCATTGGGTGCTGGTACTTTCGGCAGCGCGCGTTTCTGCCAGAAGAAGCGTTTCTTGTATGGGGCTTTGTATTGCTGTCGAGCCTTCACGGGGACGTAACCCATTTTTCGCACCTTTTGGCGTTCCTCCTCCAGATGCTCGAGGAAGGCTTTCTCGTCGGCGGACTCTAGTCCTTTCTCTTCGTGGCGTAATCTCAACATTGGCTCCGGGTCCATTTCTATGGTGTAAGGCACAGCCCGGCTTTCTTTATAGACAACATTTTTCTTTTCATCCTCTGATTGGAGCCCTTCTAGAACACCCTTTGATCCGCTGAGGATAGCCTCGAGCTTTGCCCTGACACTCTTTGCCTCCTCCTTCTGCTGCCTAACAAGGATCTCTAGACGGCTCTTGATCACATCGCCGTAAATCTTCTTCAAGCTAGCTTTAGCTTTCCAAACCCTCAAGCTACGTAGGAGCTCGTTCCAATAATCTACATCAATCGGCTCATTCGAGTTGAGTTTCCTGACGATTTGAGCTTCAAGTGTTTGTAGTTCTTCTAGAGACTTGGAGCTGAAGAGTTTATCGACATCTCCAGCAACAGAACTAACAGCTCTACCTTCCGGAGCAGACTCCTTCGACTTATCGCGGCGGTCTCGGCATATGATCTTCATAGTCTGAACGCGGATATTAACTTTCGGGCCTTTAGGAAGCAGCAGAGGGGAGGTAGAACTTACAGCCCAGTACTCTCGGTTATTGCTGTTAGTCTCCAGCAAAATATAGGCGTCGATCTCAGCCTCCAATTCCTCCAACTGCTTCTCGTCCAATCCATCTAGTATGGACACCGGGTCAATAACGTCCAGATCCTCATCGGCAATCTCGTCATCGAGCGGACTCCTATCCTTATCGATAACCCTCAAATTTACTGCAAGCCAATCAATCGGCTTCGCCCTCCCCTCTTTAACGCGAATCTCAGCCTTCTTCTTCGCCTGCTTGAGCACGAACGTATCCTCCTGGTTCACCCACTCCCGCATTTGCTCATCCTCCTGAAGCGCGTTGAGTCTCGTCTGCTCACGAACATGGCGCTCCTGCTTCCGTCGCTCCAAGTGGTCGTCTCCGCCACCACTGGGGCCGGCTGCGCTGTTCTCCGCTCGCTGCGGATGAGGGGGGGAGCGTTTCTTAGACTGGTGCTGTTTCCGCCATGGAGGGTTGGGGTCTGGTTCCGGGGAGCGGGTGCGCTTTCGGGAGCCGTGGCCTGACCCACGCTCCCGGTAGGGCATTTCGCGGCGGGGGGAGTGTCTGTTTGAAGCTGACATATCGGTTGGTATGATTGATGGATTGTTGAATTATCGGTGGTGGTGAGGGAGTCGAGTGCAAGAGGCTCCAGCCGGAGTGAATGAGGTTAGCTTAACTCACGCCAAGACAGCTCGGGAAACGAAACATTTCAAGCAACCACCAGTGACAAAACTTGCCCAAGAGCCGCACCTCTTTTTTCATCCCCGAGCAGCGATATCTGGGGAAACAACCGCATCCTCCATGATCTACACTCAAAAATGCCTCTCGGAACAAAAAAGGTCTTCCTGTAAGTTTGTTGGTTCCTCTAATTAACCTCAATTGCTCAATTCCCGCTAACAAACTCCTCCCAGTCCGAATCTCACCCTTGCACTCGTCCGAACACCCCACCTCCCGCCAAACTACGCACAATTCATCGTTCCCCTAAACATAAATAAACTGGATCTAAAAGACTACCTACTACACGTCTACAATGTCGAGGTCCTCTCCGTAAGGTCCTTCGTCCAGCAACAAAAGATCCAGCGGGCCAAGAACAAGGATCTCAGCCGGGCGAAAATCGAATGGTATCGGCCCCGAGCAATCAAGAAGATGACGGTGGAATTAAAGGAGCCGTTTGTGTACCCACCCGAGCCCGAGGACTTATCTCCGTGAGCCGCCTTATCCGGCATTGTTTTTTTTTTTCTTTTCCTCCTCGGATATCGCCTGTTGGCGGTATACCGGTGTGCAGACGGCTAATGATGTTGGTGATATTAGATGGGACCACCAACTCTACCATGCCCTCGCAAAGCAGCGGGACAAAGAAGGGGAGAATAACCCCCTCAGGCAACCGCAGAAGCCTGCAGCGTTGTTGAGGAAGAGGCTACGAGTGCAGGCGGAGGAATTATTCGCGAAGAACAGCGGGATAGAAACCATTGAAGTAGAAAAGGAGTTATCAGTATGATAGCGCATACCAAAGAAATAAATATTCACATACATATATATACACGCTCAAATCGCGGGTGGGGAAGAGGAACATCTACTGCGCTTACAAATATTACAAACCCATACTTTCCGGAATGGGGTTCTACCCATTACCACAAGTTATTGAGGCCCTTACGCTACAGGAACATGATACAGGTGTTGATATGTGAGCTGGTTAAATATCGCGCAATCGGTACACTGTACTCGAGTACTGTACATGTACGGGTATGATACAGGTACCAGAGAGCGCACCCGACGCCCAGGTTTTGCGGCACCGGTACGGTAATGGTGCGGTACCCCCCCTCCCGTGGTATCGCATTCTACCGCACGATGACAGACCATGCATGGGGAAAAGGAAGGAGGGGAAGAAGAAGCGGAAGCTCTGTCTACAACAGATGTACTAGTACAAGTACCGTAACTTGTCCTTGTTCGGAGTTCTCCTATGCGAGATTCCCCTTGTTGGAATCCGGCCCGTCCGCCTGTCCACGTTCAACCCACCGGACTTGGCCCCCCACTGCGAGCACCGTATCAAAAGCAAACACAGATTAGGGGGGAATCGAAATCCAGGATGCAGGGACCCTAAGCTTAACTTGAATCCCTCCCACCCCAACCAATTTCGCCCGCCCTACAGTACTCGTACGAGTACAGCACTCGCACAACTTCTTTTCTTCACTTTGCTTTTTTCTTTCTTTCTTTTCTTCCGGGTTTACTGTACTCGTACTTGTACCCTGTATCATACTCGAGTACGAGTACAGTACCGTACTGTGCGAGTACCCCACAGGGACATGATATCGGTATCCCGAAAACGTTACTCGTATCATATACCGGTACACTAGTGCTTCTCCAGCAAGGGGAAGAAGCAGTGGAAATAGAAACTAAGAAATATGAAAATATGACATTAGAAAAATTAAAAGAAAGGGATAAGGCACCCGAGCACCCGAGTACATAACAGAAATACCAGTACCGGTACTCCATCCCCCCCCCCACGTGCCGGTAACGTAATGAGTACCGTAGGGCATCATAATATATACAAAAAGAAAAGAAAAACACAATACTGTAATGTTACAAGAAAGAAGGAACCGAAATGAAAAGCAAAACAGGCCCACCGCGAAAAAGAAAGGGAAAGGAAAAGAAATAAATCCTCACTATCCAGTTCCGATAACGGGTAAGTATGGCATTAGATATTTGTAGTTGCTGAGGTATGATAGCCGCAGTAGCAGTACCGGTGAGTGAGCAAACTACCGGTACTGTACTGGCAATTAGTATCATGCCCGTGGAAACAACAACATTCAGAAGAAGAGCCACCACCACGATACCCGCCCCAGGCAGAGGTACCGGAAAACAGGTATTAATAGAGTGTATGGTAAAAAGGAAGAAAAATGTACTGTACGTATCTGAACGCCGATACGAAGTATAAGTTTACCTCAGACCATTTCCTTGTAGAGTACTTCTAGCCCGGGACAAGTACAATGCTCGAGTACCCTCCTCCTCTGCGCGGCTCCTGCAGCATCTGCACTCCACCCACCCAAGACCTAAAGGACGAAATGCTACCAACAACAAACTTTAGACAAACCCTCTGATACCAGCTAACCCACTCCCAGTCGGAAACCTGCTCTTCTTGTCCTTCTTCTTATCCTCCTTTTTCGCCGCCTTTTCTTTATCTTTTTTGCCAATGTTCTGGACGCCACCTGTGGTAAAGGGTGAAAAAGAAAGAGGTTAGTTATGTTAGGTAATATGTATGGTATCCTGCTTATGATATTCAATGTGGTAAAAGAATGGGGCTTGGGATGAGATGCCAAAAGGGGTGCAGAGGTATGTAAGGAATTTAACTTGAGCCACAGCCGTTATCCCAAACAAGCCACGTTGGCAGGGGAATGGAGGTTTAGGGTCGGGACTCGGGGTGTTGGTTGGTGGTGGTGGTGGGGGGTAGAGAAAAAAGAAAGAAAAATGGGGGGAAAGAGCACGCTAAGTTGAACCGCCCATGGGATTGGAAGCACATATGAGGGAAATTGACGGGAGTTAAGAAATACGGGCAGGAGCAGGGCCAAGAAGGGAAGAAAGCAGATGAACAAAGGCAATTGATATAAAAAAAAATCAATTCACGTACCTCTTCCTCTCACTCTGATTTCCGAGTTGGCCTTGATTTTCTCCTGTCGTCTTTTCTCAGATGATGTGGTGGAAGTGACTGTCTTCATACTCTGGCTATCCGTGTTGGAAAATGTGCTCCCGGCGGCCGAAGGGCCGCGCCTTAGCGGTGATGAGCTGGGGCGCTCTTGAACCGGCGGCTGCTGTTGGCCCGGATGATTCTGTTGGTGTTGCGGCTGATGTGATGGGTGTTGATGCGGCTCTGGGCTACTGAATCCCATCGAAACCTGGCCATTCCCGGTCGTTGTAGTTAGCCCAGGATGGATATAACCTGGCGGCGTAGGATGCACAACACTATTTGGAGCAGCCTGAGCACTCTGGGTACGATCATTAGGCGAAAAATACATATTCTGGCCACCCGAATAGTTGCTTTTCGCCGAATCAGGATAACTGCCCGAATGGGGGCTTGTGGACTCCTCGGAGTGGTAAAGGTGGTTACCCCCACGTGGGCTATGGCACTGACTGCCTTCACTATCAGAGAGAGCGAGGGACGAGTGCAGGTCGTTAAATCCCTGACTAATGGGGGATATTTGGTGGTTGTCAGGACTGCCGTGCTGTAGAGAAAGGGTTGAAAGCTCTTGATCTGCTTGAAGTTTGATACACTTGATCTTTAAATTGTAATATCTGCTCAGAAGCTGGTTGTGTTCCTTCTTCAATGAAGCGAGGCGAGCATTCGTAGCTGAAAGGGCATTATCGATCATTCCCTGCAAAGCCTGGCCAGGAGCAGCGGGCATAGGATTTGACAGTGAACTAATCCGTGATTCCAATTCTTGGATTTTGTTCTCATAGCCACTGTAATTATTAGTACCGAAAGTAGCAAAAAAACTCTGCAATAAATGGGTACGGAACCTACCGCTTCATCTTCTGTGCCTCCTGCTCCCGTGACTGTAATCTCATCTTGATCCTTTCCACCTGGGCTAGGGCGGCCTCTTCACTATGTTTGCGCATCTCGAATTCTTCGGAGTGAGATTCATGCTGAGCCAACTTGCTGCTAAGGTGATCGACAAATGCTCGGAGTTTATTGACTTCCTCCATCTCTGATGAGATCGATTGGAGTTTCTGTCGAGTTCGCAGTCCTTCCGCTTCGTTCTCAGCCAGTAGCTTCCTCAAATTGTCTGCTTCCTCTCTAGCCGCCTGGAGAGCTTGCTTTGTTGACTCTTCATCACTTCTCCATTCTTTTTGCTCTTCCCGCAAGATTCTTATCCTAGAATTGAGCTCAGCCTCCCATTTTTTAGCCTGGGATTTGCACTTCAAAGCCTCCTGCTTCGAAGCTGTATGGGCCCTCTTTGCTTCTTCTAATTTAGCCTTCAATGTCTTATTAGTGTTAACTAAATTCTGTGTCTCTGCTTCCGCAGTGGCCTCCTTAATATGTTTTCTTTGCAAATGGCCAATATGGGAAAGATGTTGCTGTTTGAGATAACGCTCGAAATTTAAGTCATTCTTGAGCAACATCACCTCCCTTTGTAGGAATGCGATAGTCCCCTGGGTGTCGGATGCGGCCGGCCGAAGTGCTGGTGACCGCGGCACTGTATTTTGGCTGAGTGAGTGAGCGTAGGCGTCGAGTCGGGGCGAGGCCGTAACACTTCCATATCCCGGGGGTGGGCCAGAAGGAGGTGGCCCGGGAAGCGGCGGCAGTGAATGCGTTGAGTCGTTCTTCATAGACTCATGCAAGTTTGCACGCAAATTCTCTTGGAGCCGGATCATGTCTTGGAGCCGCTCCTCTTCCTCGCATGGCGCTATCGTGTGTGGTATTGTTGGACTATCGGGTGTCTTGGAATCCCGAGGCATTGTATACGGAGAATCCCTTGAGTGGGCCCCGTATCCCGCGGGAGGGCGTGAGAAGAGACCAAGGACCTCTGTGTAATTGTCCTTTGGGTATATTCCAGTGGTGTCGCCCCTCCAACTTTGTGCAGATGCGTCGGATGCGTAGTTGGATGCACGGTCATCATCTACAGCTTCGGAAGACAATAGGCTTTCATTGGGTATATCCTCCGTGGGCACAAGAGCCTCGGGGAGTCCTGGTTTTGTGGGAGCAGCGGGAACAGCTCCTTTAGCCCTTGAATCGTGCGCAGAACCCATTGGGATGCTGCTGTTAACAAGACCGATACACTCCGCCGTCACGTCCGCCGGTTCAACCTTCATCCAGCGACTCTGATCACTTAGCTCCGTCTCAGCTGTCAGATTCAGGAAATTCGGGTGAAGCGCGTGCCGTTGGCGGTATGTTTCTGTTCGCTGTCTTATCGTCTCTTCGTCGATATCTAAGTGGTCAATGTCCTTGTGGTTTGCTCGCTCTAGGAACTTATAGGGCTCCCGGATGAACGCCATAAGATTGAGAGGATATAATCCATAAAGGAAAGTGAAGTAATCGCTCACATCTGGGGTCGTCGAAGTCGCAGTCTCAAAGGAAGAGTCCAGTTTCCGCCAAGAGATATTGAATTTTTCGCTCTTGGCGATGGGCAGAGGAGTATTTGCCCTGGAATAATTGTCTTTGTGTCCAGCGAATTTCATCTCTTCCAAACGCACTACACCAAACTTATCCCAACAAAGCACCCTGGTGTAGACCACGAAGAGCCTAGGCAGATAAGATGCTAATGAGTTGCACAAATGAGGCATGAACATGATCAAGACGGTCAGAGCTAAGGAGATGACCGTGGTAGATGTATCGTTTTCAAGGCATTGTAGAAGGTGGTCGAGCAATTCGGTCTGTAGGATCTGGTAGAGATGTGGCCCCTGTAACCGCACGAAGCTGCACAACAAGCCCAACACTTGCAGCCTGTACTCCTTCTGCACCACATAGCTATCGATCTTCTCGAGGAACACCTATTTCCCGAGTCAGCCCCGGCCATTCGTGATCTCGCAGAGCCATAACCAACCTTTGGCTTCCTTTTCCCAAAGGCCAGAAGCACAGCCTCAACATTCGCAGAAACGAATCTCTGCTTCTGTTCTTCCTTAAACCCGGCACCTCTATCTGATGATATCAGCTTGGTCTTCTCTAGGAAAACTTCAAACAGTTTATCCGTAAATACTGCCGATGCCTTTGCCTTCTCTCCCGTTGGGTCATCCTCGTCATCATAAGCTAGCACACTGAGAACTATAGCCCGTGCATCCGCCACAACAACCTTTGCTTGACCCATGGAGTCTAGGGTTGGTCGAACGAGTATATCCCACCACTTTAATAGTCTCTCCACACCGATCAGGCCGGGCCGAAGGGCCCGGAAACATGCTAGAAATGTAGCATGCTTCTCCGGCTTATTTCGGACCTTCGATTCATGTAGGCTCAGCAGCTCGTCGTGAAGTCGTTGGGAGTCGTGGTCATCGGAATTTATATGTTTGTTGAGGTAAGCATGTATGACATTAAGCACGTCATCCGGTAAAGGATAGACGGGGAGCGGTGCGGACAAGGCCACATTCAGGGTTTTTGACAAGTCCTTTAGAGATCTATCCGGTTCGATTCGGTAAATTAGCTCCAGTACCAGCGAGGCCAAAAGTCCCACCTACAGGATGGGATTCAAGAAGTGAAAGGCCCAATCCTGAAAATGGAATGGAGCACGTACCCCCCGGACATGGTGTTATATTTCTGCCACCTTCCGGTGGTCCCGGTAAAGAGTAAAGCAGCCTCCAACTATGAGGGAGGAAGAAAGCAGCTTTTCGTGCACTACCGGTATCTATCGTCTGTGTTGATAGGTCTTCGCAGTTGATATCCGATCGTTGGGGATAAAATCCCGTTCACTCAATCACTTCTTCGCACTCTCGGCGCTGTGTGTGTGTAATGATCTCCGAGGGGTGGGGGGCGAGGGGGGGGGGGGAGACCCTGAATAAAATGAAAATGAGACCGCAGCTCGCCCTGGCTGAAGAACCAATTCCAAAACACACAAAAATTTTAACGGCCTCTCCTTCTCCCCTGTCCTACTCCGCTCTCGGGGCAAGGGATTCGGGTTGATATAACGACAGGGAAAGGTTGGGCAGGCGATATGGAAGGTCCGCGACGGGACAACGAAAAAGCAATCAACAGCCTAGAAAAAGAAAGCAAGGAGGGGTGGCCACTCGCCCCGGAGGTGAGTGAGAGAGCAGGCAATAGGAAGCTTGGAAAGGGAAAACCTATTGACGGGCGGGTAAGAACAAGCAAACAAGAAGGAATGGTTTTGAATTAATTGACGGCGGCGGCGGCACACAAGCGTCACTGCTGGCGAGTGTTTTGGGCTGACGCCGAGCAGATAAGATCAACACGATCTGCTGACAGCGGTTGAAGAGATGAGAAATTTTCTTTCGACAACCACGGGACAACGACAAGCTAGTAACAAAGACGAGGGATCAAGGAAGAATATATTCCGTATGAATGAGCAATAATTATTTGAGAACACAGACCTCTGCTGAGGTGGTGGGGCAGTACCGTAGGGATCTCTGGGGGGTCAAAAGGGTGGGCGAAAGCGTTGGTGCACCGTACAGCAGTGTGGGGGATAGTCGGCTCCGGTGAAGTTCCACTGCCAGGGAGGTCTCATCGATAGGCGGGGGATGATCAAGAGCAGGTACGGAGCGAGGAATAATACATGCACAGCGGCACAGAAAGCGACTTCCGGGGTTTATTCTGTGGAGTCTACCGTATTATATACCATGGAGTGAGAGCTGCAGCTGTGATGATATAGAAACAGGCCACACCCAGCCTGCTGGAACGGAGGGAGAGCCAATAACAGGAAGCGTGTGGGTAGATGCTCATAATATTATACGGCATCTAAACGGGCATGAAGGATCGATCCGGGCTCGACCAGTAAATACGTCCCCGATCAAAGCATTACGGTATAGGCACTCAGTATTCTCTGCAGTGAGCATACGGTAAGAGTGATAAGTTGGTTCCAATATAACTGCCCAAAAACCGCTCCTCCCTGGACCTGCACAGTACGGTACCCGGGGATCACACTATGGGCATCTCGCTTTTTCTTCCACGTCCGATGCACACCAGAAGGACCAGAGCAAATATCCTGGCTGGGTCGTAATGTCCTGTATATATGGAAGGTCTAAGCTCTTAATTTGTGGGCGAGGATAGGCATCACACCTTGTCTCCGCTCTCGCTCTCGCCTTGTTTTTTTTTTCAGTCTCCAAACACCAATCTCGAGAGCCACTGAACGGTGTTAAGCTCGACGGACCGGATTGGACACTGCGGCGGATGCATTGAGCTCCACCTCCACAGCCGGAGAAACGACTTGCAATACCTTACGTACCAGCTAGCACAAGTGGCGGTCAAGGACAAAATTCCCCAGTTGAATCGGGGTACGAGTAAAGCGCAAGATGAACACGGGGAAACCGTGGGCTTGGGAATTGGCCGAACTAGGAAGGCTCCAATCCCAAAAGGGGGTCGATCGGAGCTTGCCGTTTTGGGGTTACTGTATCACGCATGGACCCTTTCCGTTATCAAGTGCTTAGTTTAGTACTCAAGTACCAGTACCGTACCGTACTCGTACTGTATTACAGTGAAAAAAAAAGTGCTGCCACAGCCCAGCGTTAAGGTGCCGGAAGCTATCGACGGAAGCACTCTGCTAGTCTACTACCGGTACCGTAAAATCTCGTGAAATCCACTATCTCCGGCCGCCCGTCATCCCACCATAGGTTTAGCTTAGCAGGTTAACAGAATTGCGAATACCGGTTAGCGAGAACCAACACACCTAGCCGGCCGATCTCTTATTGTATCAGGAAAACGCTAATCCTTCTCGAGATAGTAGTGGATTTCACGAGATCTCACGGTGCCGTTGCAATGCAAAACGCCAAGCCCAGAGAGAGCCTCCTGGTGTGCCCTGATACTTCCCTGATACGGCTGCTACATGCAAATACTCCTGCGGTATGAGAAATCACGAACATAGACTGCCTTGATTTCCAGTACCGTGTCATATCCCAGACTCTTGTTTCACGAGAGTTCTCCAAAATACTTCATTTAATAGGCGCCTCTTACTACGCCAATGCAATTGAATTACGCTTGTCGGATGTCCTTTTGCGCAGCATTCTCACGACTGGCACCAGCTTCTGTGAGGCCGGAGTTTCGGATCACATGGATGAGAGGACATCTCTCCCACCGGGCGCCTCCCCCCCCCTGCAAATGAGGGGAAATGTCCCACCCGCCAAGTTGGGGATAGTCAATTCACACATGATTGCACTGCCAGTGTGAGATAAGGCGGCAGCAGGAATTCGCAACCAAGGCGTTTGGTCGGGTCTGGAAGCGCAGGTGCGGTTCAAGTGCATACCAGTTAGAGGAATCCGTGCAGTGCCTGAGTAGAGGTGCAGTACCGGCGCGTCGGGCGTCACGAAGTCATCATCCATCATCCCTTTTAACCCAATCCATTCCCCAATACGGTACCATGGTTCGTCTTGGTTGGGAACTCTTCCCCCCCTTAAGTACCGTCCAGCAGTTCAATCGAGCCTCATTCCATTTTCGCACCGTGTCCGGGCCTTCACCTGTGGGAGCAGGGCAGTACTAGTACAGGCATTCCCTTCTGCTCGACACTTTGCTGTCCCGGTTCGTGTGCCGGTACCGTTATCCCTGGCCACGGGAAATCCCCCGTCCATGTGGCCCGTGGCGGAAATGGAAATGCTATTAGTTTTTAAGCCGTTTGTGTAAACCGGAACTACTCCATTTGTGCCTAACTGGGTATTGAAAATGGTATCTTACTTGTATCGGTGATGCGAGTCGACCGGCGCTGGTCAACGATATATTGGAGGGCGCTCTATCCCTTATCCTATATACTATGCGACGTTATGTGATTGCACTATTGAATTCTTTGGGAGTGCTCGTGGAAAAAAATCGTGGAAGAATGATAAAACCTTCGATGCTCCTGTGTACTGTACAGTACCGGTATGATAGTCTACTATGGAGAGCCTTTAGTAAACCTTTCAGTTTCGGTTGGTTCACCCGGAACTTACCGCGCCGTTTCGTTTTACCGATTCATTTATACAACCCCCAGGAGGCAGCAGCTTATGATAGTTCCCCTCTTTTCCCCGCAGTCAAGGAGTCCAGATGTTCTGGGATGCGCGAAATAAATAGCCTATACAGTAGATCGCTTGCGTGAAAAAGTCCGTGGTCCTTGACGTTTCCGAACCTGCGCCACTACTGGGGCGCCGGCGATGCCCTAGCAAGCACATTCGGCTTAGTGGCACCTCGCACAACACTCGTACGGCCGAAGAATAAGGCCTCTGAGTGCCGGTTTTTTTAGTACACGGGACAGGTCTCCGCGTGGGAGTATCATACCCGTGCAAGCATTATACCGGTATCGGGGTCAAATTGGATCTTGCACCGTACTCCTGTATTCCATCAATATTCTGTTCAACATATCATAGTTCTCGGAAAAGGCTGAGCATCATACGGTACGGCAGTTGGAGGGTGCCGTGCCTCGTCCCACAAACAAGCAGTGGGGCGGCAGGAATGGACTATGCTAGTACGATATGCCGTCCGACCTTTTTTTTTTTGCCCACTTTTGCGGGTGCGGGTGAGTTATATACACCAAAGAATCGGTTCGTATCATGATGGTTCTTGGAAACACCACGCCCTCACCGGAACCACCGTCGGCGATATCGCACCATTTCCAATTCTAACCTACTATCCCGAACCATTATCCCGCGCAGGCGGAGGGATATCTGTAGGGGTAATCGGCGGGTGGACCCTGCTTTCTTCTTGTATTGTGCTGTTGCTTTGGGAGTTCCTCTGCTTCAGACGAGTCCTTGTCCTCGAATTTTGGTTTCAAGACGGAAGACAGGCTGGTAGGGTCCACTAAGCCTCTCTGGAGGGGGAATTCTGATGAAATACCCATCGTGCTTATGGGCAGAGGTTCTCACAAGTTTTTTTCATTTTTCAGAGGAGTCGGGATCTCTGACCGTTGGGTTACCGTAGTCGAAATACTTGCCATATTCCTGGATCCTAGACCAGTCGGTGAGGGAGTAATAGTTCGAGTACTGTGTAGCTAATTGCTGAGAAGTTGGGAAACCGGCACGCCACATGCGTGCAATTGTTGTAATATCGGGTCTAACTGCTTTTTTCTAGGCTCAGAGGTCCTCAACTACTGTATACTACCGTACTGTATTACCCCGAGGGCACCCTACCGAATGTAGCAGCGCGGTGGCAACAACACATGCACGCCCCCGGCGGATGAGATTTATTCCTAAGGAGGTGACAGAATGAGAGACTCAGGGATCGGCTAGCAACATCGACGGGTGGCGCGAACCAGGGGAAGAGGAGGCGCATAGTGGCGACCTGACATTGTTTGTGGCGAGTGCGGGCCGATTGGGATAGGAATTCTCTGTGTCATACCCCTAGAATTCGGTTTGTAGTATGATATGATACTCGAGTAGAAGCGCTCGCACAGGAACATCAATAATAGTGATATCGCAAAGCCCTGTAATCTCCAGGTTCTGAGTCAAAACCTCCTTAGCAGGATTAGTACAGTAGTTTCCCCAAACGGTGGAACCTGAGGGTGGAGAGCGTGCTGGATCCCGTGAACTGGTATGATAAGTTATTCGTGATTCTGTTAACCTGTCAAACAAAATAAATCTATTTTGAGTCGACTGCAAAACTAACCCCTGCAAAGGAGATAGTAGATTTCAAGAGTTCTTGCGGTATACCTACGGCAAGTGGTCTGGATCGTATTACCATGACCCACTATAAGGCCTTGCGCAAGCGACACCGGCTCAATTCATGGGCTTTTGATATGGAACCGGAGTACTGTAATGGCACACTGCCTGATGCAGCGCAGTGGCGAGCACCAGCGTATGTTACTCGTAGTAGAACACGAGAAATTAATCTTTGTCCTCCAAAAGGCGGTGTACGAGTACCCGAAATTAGATATCGTGCGCGGGTCGGGGAAGCTTCAAAGCGGCCACAAGATACCCAAATTCAGATCGATAGTTGTAACTTTCCGCAGCCGGGCGTTTGAAGAACCTATGACATGACGAATCTTGATATATCCCCGTAGTCGCAGGTACAGTGCTCGGGTATACCGTAGATGCAAGACTTAGTGATGGTACAAGTACAGACAGGGGGTATGAGTCCTAGCGCTCGACACCGCCAGAGGCAGAGGATGGTTTAATCTGGTAGAAATGATGATATCTCGAACCCCTGCCTGCACCACCACGAACCTCCATACCAGAACACGAGCTCGATACCTTCGCATAATATTTCAAATAAGCCTTTTCGGTTACTCGTATTGGGTATCTGGCCGGTACGTATAGTATCTGCGAAGGATCGTCGGAAACGGCCGGATCACAGAAGGTCTGTCAGACAGGGGATTATTAGACGTTTGCGGAGGGTTACAGTATTTCCCGGAGGCGATTGAGGAGGCAGGTTCGCGAGATTGATGGTGGTGCGCTGCTTCCCCTTGGAGCTGGGAGCGAAAGGAGGCTAATTTGTCCGTCGCAAATCATTCATCAATTCCAAAAAAACGGAATATGTGGGAAGATGCGGCGGCGATATACCCCTACCGGTACTATATATACGAGCACTCGAGCACCGTAACGGTACTTGCACATGCTCGTGCCCGCGGTCAGGGTGGCTACTATCATAGAAATATCTTGGCGTTTTCGCTTATTTTTTTCCCCAGCCTTGCGTGTACTAGTACTAGTACTTGTACTCGAGTACTTGTACTATATGGTACTCGTACGAGTACCGTATCATAATACCGGTATTATCATGGAAATTCCTGAACTATCTGGATGCCCTAACGCCAATATCCTCGTGATTAGCTGGCTGTTGGGAGATTTCGGCGACAAAGCATCTGAGTATCATACTCCATAAATTTTCGAGTAATTCTGGGACTCCCCCCTCCTGTAGGAACCAGAGACTCACAAACTCATCCTTACTTGAGTAACGACAGAATGCACAAACCATGATAACTTGAGAAAAATACAGAGCATATATAATTTACCTAATTGGGGCTAGTGTGATATCTCACCTCACTAGATATCTGTCTTGGCCTGTTTTTTCTTACATTTTGTCAGGCAACCAGTGGTCATTGCCTCAGGCTCCCATTCACGATACCAGCATGTTATGATTCATCTCCAACTTTAAGCCCAGAGATCATGGTCCTCCACTTCATGTGTCTAGAAATTAAAATTCTTAGATCAATGCAGCTGTTGTCTAGCTACATTCTTACAAGACAAAAATGGGAAATATTTTATTATTATTTTTATCACAAGTGATCATATCGAGAGTTCTGTGACCGTTACCCGGCCCTACTGTTGCGGCTCCACTTAACGCCAAACAGTCCTCGCAACCCACACGAACGCGTAAAGCGTGTCTGTGATAGAGGATCGAACCTGCTTTAACCCCACACTCATCCTCAGTTTTCTCACCCCTCGCACTCTATTTCTCAACAACATTAAACACAAGTGAATACATCATGGGTAGGGATATCACCACCGAGCCCTTTTATGCGGTTTACGCTGACCTGATCCCCAGACTACGGCAGTAACTATGGCGGAGGAGGTTATACTTCCTACGGGGCTGGCGGGGGAGCGGGTGCAGGTGGATTTTCTACCCACTACGGTGGTTCACAGGGTGGGAGTCAAGCTAGCCCGGGTGGAAGTGCTTCACGCGGAGTAAGTAGTCTGGATTATACATCGCAAGCTTCATCAGTCTAAATCGAATTAACATCTATAGAGTCGTTCCGCGAGCACCCTTCGTCCTGTCACAATTAAACAGGTACTTGAGGCCACCCAACCTCATCCGGAGGCTGAATTTAAGATCGATGACGTTGAGTTAACTCAAGTAAGACACACATGATTCCTGATGCGCTGTCTATTCTGTGAGCACACAGCTAAGATGTCCTTCTCTAGCTCACACTTGTTGCACAAATTCGCGGCGTCAGCGAGCAAGCAACGAACCATACCTATAAGATGGATGATGGCACCGGCACCTTAGAGGTGAAGCAATGGGTTGAAGCCACCGCTGTTCTTGATGGACCTTCCGAAAAGCTGCGGCCAAACCAATATGTCCGAGTTTTAGGTACTCTCAAAGCCTTCGGTGGCAAGCGCCACCTCGGTGCTCATCATATACGCCCCATCACGGATTTCAATGAGATACACTACCATTTTCTGGAGGCTACGGCAATTCATTTGCACTTGACAAAGGGCCCTCCCGAGGGCTTGGGACAGGTGACGGGTGGGGTGGGGCACCAGGTGCATGGCCAAGGTCAAGGGCGTGATGTCGCGATGGGTGGTATGAGTGTAGCGGCCGGAGGCGGGGGAGGCGCTCGCTACTATCCACCTAATGTCAGCTCGCACAGCAGGAGGATCCTTGATATAGTCCGGTCCAAGCCGCAGCACACAGATGGGACGCATGTCAACACCATCGTGCAAATGTGTGGTTTATCTTTGCCCGATGTTGAAAAGGCTATCTATGAATTGGCCGACGCTGGGATTGCGTATACCACGATAGATGATAGCCATATCATGCTGTTGGACAATCAATCCTAAACAATGATGGTTTCTCCGCCCTTTATCAGCACTAGCCGGCGATGGCTCCATTGTGTTTTCCTTTCGTTCTCCCCTCTCGGTTTTTCCTTTTTTCGGGTAGTGGTGAAAAGACGTGTAATGTAACGGCAGCTATGAAAGAAGTTCTCTACGTCAACAGCAAGATGGTAGCGTAATTTACGGGGAGACCACATTTGATTATCCCGGTGTTCAGTGGGGATATAGACCTAAAAACCCGGGCAGGTGTGATGATACTTTGAAGTGTAGAATCGGATATTCTATCTTTTGGTTAAGAAAAGTGAGTCAATTTCCTCGTGTTAAAAGATCTCAGGGATTACTCTCTCCCCTAAACGTCGTTCTTCCCGCTCTGCTCTGTCCTGCCCGGTGCGGGAACCAACGAAAGGGTGAGTCATTTCCCCGAGTGATTAGATTATGATACATGTTCTCAGTGAACTATCCTCACTTTTTACCCTTAGCAAACCTCCAGAGCGCAACAACAAACAAGAATCGGTAAAAAACAAAACGAAAAAACGAGTCAACTCTCCAATATGATTAGACTATGATATCATACTATTCTTCATGATCCGACCCCATTTCGAATTTGAACAACCCCATAGGGTTTAGGGCAAAACGAATAATAACAAGATTTCCACCTTTCCGAGTTTTTCAATCGTATCATACAGTATGATAGAAAGAAGCACAAGTATGCTGTGATATGATAACATCAAACCTTAAAATCTCGCGGGCAAGCAACGCGAGCACTACAGTAACAGACTCGGCCGCGGTACAGTATCATGGGATAAGAGCCCTGCTAAAGAGCAAGCAGCTCGGGCTCGGAGGCCAATATAAGGTAAAGGGCCACGCTAATTATGTAGCCCAGTCGTAAGACACCCGTCATCATAATATTATCTATCATACGTGCGAGATCTCGATAGACTGGTGCCGTGGGATGGAGGTAGATCCAAGGATCACCTTGATATTATATCTCCAAATTTCAACTACTGGTATATCCCCAAGAATGTATATATATATATATTTAAAGGTTAATATATGGGCTTTCTATTACCGGGGGGATCTCATCGGGATATGTGCTCGTACAGTATGATATTTGTAGGCCGGCCGAATCGCTGTAGCCTGTGACATTGGTTCGTGTGAGAGGGCGTTGATTTTTTTAATTTTTTTCTTCTACTGCGAAATGAAATATCATGACATGGTAATTGCGAGTTGTGTGATGGGAGATTGTGATCCTGTTCGGACATCTTTTGAATACATAACATAGGTGGGGGGGGGGGGGTCAAGGAACAGAGGGGCCCGACGAACAGGCCAAACAAGACCACCATTCGCCAAGACCTTTTTGGTGTATCGTCCGTTGACCCCCCGTCCATTTTATGATACATAGTCTACTGGTATGGTACCCGTACTCGAGTGTCAGGTTGGGGGGGGGGGGGGTGGGCTGGATGGATCAATCAGGGATACACTAAAAGCTGTTTTGTGCCCTCGTTCGTCGCTCTGGTCGCTCTTGAACGGGTTACTTTGGGGTGAAATATGTTGCCCCTGTGAGAGGATCATATGACAGATACAGCGGGTTAGTTTTAGCTAAAGTGTAGCCGCTGCCACAGCTACTGCACGAGTGCGTTGCAAACGTATCGCCTACTTTACTGTGAGCTATGAGGTGTTGAGTTGTTTGCATCGGCTTTGTGATTTTGTCACATGTTTTGACCGGGATCCGCATTCCGAGCGGCTCCCAGGTAGACTATCATAGCATCGTAGTCTACAGAACTGCTGTGTGCAAGAATTTTGCTACGAGCATAGGCGGGTCACCCACTGAAAATATTTATATGCGGGGGTAATAAATTAGACGACTCCCCCGCCAATAGACCTGATGATAGAGTCATCAATGGCACACCCAAACCCGCCTCCCCCATAAATAATGGAGGTATTGGGGGCCAAGGGGAGAACGGGTCTCTGTGGTTTCAGAGCTTTTTGCCCCCGTCTGACTTTGTTCCTCCTGCCCGAGTAGTACCAGTGCACAGCGCAGACCAGAGAAAAGCGCCATCAATTCTTGTCCCCCACCCCGCCGGCAGCACCCTTGTCCCCTGCTCCACCAGAAGCATTTCCGCCCTTCCGCCAATACCGTAGTCTATCGGTCATCTGCTGTGAGTGGTTTCTACCGCGGGAAGCGGGGGAGGGAGACTGGGAGCAGCCTGTGGGATGTATATCATACATCCACCAGCCTTTTGACCGCGTACCCTGCAAACCACAAGGTATGGTATCAGTGGCAGTGGAAATATAGACACAGGGATGGCTTACACCGAGAAAACCAACCACCGCGGAGCCAACAAGCCCCAGCTGCCGTTGCATGAATGCCGCCTTGGCCTCTAGGCGGTTCAAATCGGTCTTCCCTTCAGCGGATGGAGACGGCACCTTGAAGCCGCGCAGAGCATCCGGAGGTGTTTGGGTTGGGTATCGTCCGGAGTGTTTGGCAACGTGAATTTGAGACAGTCGGAAATTAGGTAAACACCCTTCTTCAGCTGTCTTCTGTAACACAGTTCCCGCTATTATATGACGTGACCGTCCACCGGTACTTCCACTGTGGATCCTGGACCCGGGTGGTTAGGTAAACGGGCCCTGAGCTGTCTGCAAACCAGACCAAACATACATTGGAAAGAAGCTTCTGACAACTCATTCGGACGCGTGCCACTTGCTAAAAACGCGGCCCCACTGTCACGGTATTCATTGGGCGAATCAGCAGTAACGAAAGGGATGAAGTGCCGGGAGATTCTTAATTGAGCCCTCATCGTCCTCTCCACAGTTACCCGACATGGACTCCAGCTCAGGGCTGGAGTTCGTGCCAATCAACGGTTGATGGGCTAGATGGGGCCGGATGTGTTCGACGAATTGCCTGTGCGGGCGGATATGGGGCTTGAGGATGTTTGCTACAAGTACCATGATTGCTCTCCTGGGTGTGGTTGGGGAAGCTGTGCTACTTCTCTGCTTCTCAACCAAGCGGAGGGATAATTTACTCCCCCCACCGTATTCCTACAAATAGTCTACTTTACAAAAAGCAACCCTTGCTACAGTGTTATGGGCCCACCCCACTTGTTGTTCTCCCACCACAGAATATCTCTTCCCCATCCTTCCGCCTGGCTTCAGTTGCAACATCATGAAAACGTGCTCATACTCCGTATGCGGGCGCAGTACTCGAGTACAGTGCTCGTACTCGAGTGCCCTGCCGGAGGTTTATTGCGGTAACATGTCTGCAGACTGAGGGCGCTGATATGATACTGATCCACCGTGCCAAGATAAAATATATAAAAAGCATATCGGAGCAGAGCCTCTGGGCTGAGTTAACGAACCCCTGGCAAAAAATAAAATGCTTGCTGCCCATAGGGTTCGCCACCCTCTCAGCACACGACTCCTTTCTTGAATCCCATCTCCAAATTTATCTTGTTCTTGTGCCCAACTTCCAAAGCTTTTCGTTGAAATTCCAACTCTAGTCGCTCTTTTGTCTTCCGCCCGCTGGCGGCTCTTTCACGGGATGGAGGAACGGATTGGCTCTTCCGAGTCACTAAGTGTCTATCTCCCTCTCCCATATCGAGTTCTCCTGGTTACTATCCTAGGTCCGCCATGACTCTCAATAACCCGCCTTATTATGATCGGCCTCGTAACTGATTGGATCTCTTCGAAGGGAACAGGAATATGGCTGTTTGGCCTTAATCTACACTATTTCCAGATCGTCCGGATCGATGCCCCGCCGATGCTCCGGTACACCCGCAGTTCCTCCGAACCTCCGCTTCACGGGTCGGTTTACCAGGTCGCTTCTTTATTGGCGCTGCTGTTTGGGGCGAACATCATGGCCTTTTGGGTTTTCACGGCCGGGAGCGAGGAGGCCGTCAAGAACCTGCAGATGCTGCCTGTACTACTGTTCCTTGCGGTCGTGGGTGTGTTCTTGTGGCCATTTGGAGGCTGGCACCACCGAGGTCGCTGGAGGTTTTTAAGGCGAGTCACCTTTGGCAATGTTGCGCCGGAGACGTTCTCCGTGTTGGGTGGCCTACGGGCAGTAATTCAAGCCACGGGTAACTGATCGGGTTAAATAGGATGCTTCGTCGGGTTCTTGTCGGTGGGCTCCACCCAGACTTTCGGTTTGCCGACGTCCTTCTCGCCGATGTCTTGACCTCGTATGCAAAGGTTCTCGGAGATTTTGCCGTGTGTGTCTGCATGTTCTTCAGTGGATACTCTTCGACAAATCCCATCCCAAACCGCTCCGCTGGCGGGAAATACCTTATGCCTCTTGCCATGAGCATACCCTACCTGATACGGTTGCGGCAGTGTTTGATCGAGTATGTTCGGGCCCGCCGGAAGGGCTTCCCGTCCACGGAGCGACGAATCCATCTCTACAATTCTGCCAAGTACGCCTCGGCGTTCCCGGTTATCCTGTGCAGTGCGTTGCAGCGTGGATATAACCCCGATGAACCGCATATATTCTCACGGTCAACTCTCTCGAGGCTGTGGTTACTTGCTGTGATTATCAACTCGCTATTCTCGTTCTACTGGGATATCGCGAGGGATTGGGAGTTGACCCTATTCTCCTCTCGCCGTTCCTCGGGCGAACATCCGTACGGGTTGAGATCGAACCGGCACTTCGTGAATAAGGAGCTCTACTACGGTGCCATCATCATTGATTTCCTGCTCAGGGGAACCTGGAGTGTCAAGCTCAGTCCTCATTTGGATCAAATCAACGAAATGGAAGGAGGGATATTCCTCCTGGAACTCCTGGAGATCTTTAGAAGATGGGTGTGGACCTTTTTCAGGGTCGAGAGGGAGTGGATCGTCACTCGAGGCAGCGGGGCATTAGGGTTACTAGATGGTGGCGATGGCGTATTGATGACTGATTTTGGCAAACTTGACGAGGATTAGAGTGAAGCATTCTTTTGTGTCCGCCAGTATAGAATTGTGCGATTGGGAGAGGGAGGGAGGGATGGCTGGATTGGCGTACATATCACTTTGCTTCAGTCTCATAATATTATTTCTGTCTTTTTTTTATTTTTATTTTTATTTTTTTGGCGATATTGGGTTTTACCGGGTATCGGGGCTAACCTGGGATAGAAGAGAGGTGCCATATCATACTATTGATCTATTGTGTAATAAGTTATGGAGAATATAAGCTTGATTCGTGCTGCCCCAGGCCGGGTTTTGGTGCAATCGGGGTGATGGGGGGTTGCGTTTCTGTATGTAGGGGATATGGGTTGCTGTACTGATGCGCCTTTGAACTTCCGAGGGCGCTCCCTCTTATCATATCATACAAGCAGTCTATGATATCATAATTATCATACCTTTTTGTGAGAAATCGATTACAGTACCGTCGGGGTTTATGCCCTTGTTTACATGTCCCTTGATATCATACGGTATGATACTCTATGAATCGCTCACAATAGCTACCCGTCACCAAAAGTCACTCGCCAACGGGTACTAGTGTACTCGAGTACAAGTACTAGTAATTCTTTTTAATCTTATATCATACTAGTCTATTTTACCATACCTTACCCTACGGTATCAAACGTGCATGATAAGGTGCTCGTACGGTAACTTGCCCTATTATTCAAACACCATCATACCGTACCAACTCGTGTATCAAGCATGGTAGCACGGACCATGGGGGACCAATCAACACAGGCGAGAAAAGGGAATGACTGGTCATGCATTGGTAATTTACACCGGAGGCCAAGCAGCAAAAGTGAATATAAAAGAAACAAAAGGTAAAAACTACGAATTTCACTCTCTAGACAAAAACTGGCTATCCATCAACAAGAATTACTCCGCAATAGAGCTCTCTTCGGACCAAGCTTTATACTATCGGGATCTTATCCGGCCCTCTAGTCCCTTCCTTGCCATTCGGGATTCTATTTGTTGTGGAGTGTGGGTTAGCAGTGGTTTTAATATCTAGCCGATAAGTCAATGATTGTTGCTGACCTTTTTGAGAATGACTAATCCCTCAAGATTGTTGCTCAGAGAGATATATTCGTCGTCCTCTAGTTCCGCCCTCTCACCGTATGCTAACAGTACTGGTGTGTTCTGTGTTTGCCAGCCGGTGATAGTTTTCGGCCGACCCGCTTGACCGACGACATCCACTGCTTGACCGACTCGTACGTTTACGGGAAGTGGCTGGAGATTCTCGTCTAGTGTAATCAGGAAACGGGGGTGCATCGCTGCGACGAGGAAGTATAGCAGGTAATGTGAAGACTCAAGGATGACTAGAAGGTACTAAGTTAATACTGATCCCAGGAGTAATGATCAAAGAAGGCAGGAGTAAGTACAGCTCTTAGCATCAATCAAGCTCACCAGCACTGTTAATAAACCAGCAGTTGCGACTCTGCTCAGCACACTCCGGTCGTTGTGGAATGGATTTAAGCTTAGGGTTCCCTTGCCCATGTGCAATAGACCTTGCGCTATCCTGACCATGAAGAGCGAGTTGGGGTCCCGGTGGTAGTAGCTTGCCAACTGTCGCAGAAGTTGCGCTAAACGTGCGTTGTTTGTTCCCGCACCAACCAACCCCATGGCAAAAATTGCGTTTATCGCAACATCGATATCATTGTCGTGTGAGTAGCGGGAGAGGGTGTCGTAGACCTTGATCTGGGGGTTGGATGCACTAAGAAGACCCATTGCTAGGGGAACAGTCTTGCGGATAATTCCATCTCCGTAGTGCATTAGATGACCGAATTGTCTTAAGGCCATTTCGGCACCGATGTCTTCTCCCATGGCTATGAGTGCCAATCCTAATACAGCATAAGATTGGAACAGGTCCTCGCCCTTCTTTTCGTCCTCAGAGGTGTCAATATGTTCGTTGCAAAGGTGTAACATGCTTTGGTATTTCAACACGTTACCGGTTCCAGCGTAAGCACAAGCATCCACCAGAACCCCACCGTGTTTGGCAATGGGGTGCTCGATAGCCTTCAGGGTTTCTAGGGTGACATCCGCATCATCTTGCCGTCCCACGAATAGAAGTGCCAGTCCAAGGGCAAGGAACCGACCCCATTTATCCTTCAGTGAAGGATCGTCCCCTTCTGCCCGCTCCATCAACGTCTGTATAATTGTGCTGGAAATATCACCGTTACTTGACCCAACAAATATCAGTCCGAGGGACAGGGCGGCCATGCCAGAGACCTGTAACGTGATTGAGGAATCGCCAATAATTGGTAGGAGCCGTTCCAGAAATTCGGCTCGCTGGGATCCAGCGTAGGCAAGTCCAAGGCCCATAATCGCAGCCACTCTGATTGGGACGCTCTTGCTTTCAAGGTACTCATCGTTAAGGAGAAGGGCCATGGCATGGTCCATCTCGGTTCGAACTCCACAATTGAGAATTCCAATGGCAAGAGCAGCCCCGGCCTTGATGTTTTCCTCCTCTTGATACGTGTACTTGTCGATAACATCCAATCCATCGACATTCCACTGGTACAACATACCGATACTGGCAGTTACACTAAGCATCCCCAAATCTTTATTTTTGTAAACCCAGTTGTTGCTCTCGTCCTCAACCAGCATCAACTTATCTGTTCCAAATCCAGCATTTACAAAGCTGTTTACAAAGCTGTTCGCAAGGTTCTGCTTAGCGGAGTCCACACTTCCTCCGGAGCCACGGGAATTCTCCAGATGCGATTTGTAAATGTCTTCAGGAGTCTTGGGATCGAGGATGTTGAGCTCCTTCCCGAGAGCCGCAAAGTGCTCCGATAACCGTGTATTGTTGAGTGCCTCATTTATGTCCGGATCTGGGGTATCCAGTGAGATTTGTTGTCGCGCAACAAGGAAGGCAAGCTGTTTCTTGAGCACGGGATCCTCCGCGGCATCAAGATCCTCCCCTATCAAGTGTACATCGTTAAGACGAATAGCAAGAGTAATCGCTTGGGCTAGCTTATTGTATTTGCGATATATGGAATGCGCTGTCTCCAGAGTTGTCTTGTCATCGGGGGGAGAGAGAAGGGGCACCATACTATGCACAATGTTAGCAAGAACCCAAGTCAGAGCTTTTTTTGAGCCCAGTTTCTAAAACCCACCTGATCATGTATAGTCCTACTCTCTGATAGGTGTTCTCATCCAAGAAAGGCGGAAGCTTGTCGATGATCTCCAGTTCTAGCAGTAAATCAACAGCATCTGCTTCTGCATTATGCTTGAGAAAGAATGGTATGAGAGACATTGTCAAGTTAGTCAAGTCTTGTGTGTCTTCTTCCTTTTCTTGGCGCGAAGTAAATTCTGCACCGATCTCCAGCGCCAGATGCCGGACGTATTCGTGACCCCACGAGCCAGGGTCCTCCATAGGGGCTAGCAGTCTATATCTGAGCGAATCTAGTCGGTTCTCATCTGCGTAAGTCATCCCGAGAACGGAGAGAACATCGGCCATAGCAACCTGCTAGCAATTAACCTATAGCCATCGCCGTCATACTGGGGGTTGCGACCAAACCTTATTTTCGCCTTCCGGCCATTGCTCATAGAGTTCTATAAGAGACTTGTAATGCGGGCGCAGAAATTTCAAAGGCTTCGGGACAGCAGTCATCGAGGAAGTCGATGTTCGGATAAAGGTTTTAATAGCTTCCAACGCGGGTTTGTAGAGTTCGGCATTGGGTTCCTAGAAAATCAAACAGTCACCGGTTAAGTCACCGGTGGCTGGGGGCGATATCAGACAAACCTTTAGCCGTTCAACCAGCATTTCAAGCTCTGACTTCAGCTGTTGGTCTTCCTCCGAGAGCTCTTCTATATCCTCCATCAGTTTCATCGGCTTGAGAGGCGTCATTATCGGAAAAAGCCACACCTTCTTGAGGCTCATCCTTCTTTCCTTTCTTTGCTCCGTTCCCATTCTTCTCCTGTGTTTCCTTAGAGGCATCACCATCCTTCTTTTCGGGGGTATCTGCGGCCTTCCCTTTGCCTTTGTCAAGTTTGGCTGACTTTTCGCTCTCCTTTCCCATAGCGGTGTAGAGTTGATGTTAATCGATGGGGGCAAGGGGAGAAGAGAAAACAACTGTAATTTGGTTGATGATGGGATTCGTAGTGATGGGGTTGTTGGTGGTTGTGTTGATGACGGAGATGGATGGACGGAGTGGAGGATGGAGGGGGCACTGGATAGTAACCTAGGAAGGGCAGCCTTCGAACACCTCTGTTGCACAGGGCACTGCCGTTAAGTTGCATTACAATTAATTTTTATTTCTTGGCTTCTTCCATCTTAGTAAGGGCTGGATCTTGGAACCCTCCCTCACACAAAGCAGCTCCAACAAACACAACGCTCAGCTTCATCGGGATTCATTCCTCGAACTCGAACTCGAAGTTTTGAAGGATCATTGATGTTACAAATTGGCTGAAACCTATTATTTCGAGTTCCAACTCTGCTATCGTTCTCCCCATCGAATCCAACTGGTGTTCCGATAAGGGTACTTGCCGAAGGCCGCACTGGTCAGCATTCTTTGATGCAGGAATGATGGCTCCCCCTTTGGACCCCCGCGACCCCCGCGACCTCCACGATCGCCCATGGAAACGCCGTTCCTCTTCCGTCTCCGCCCCATACTTCCGCCTTCCTCGACGCAGTCGCCGCGCAACCTACATCTGCTGGACGGTTGTGGTATTTGTACTCTATTTCGTTCTCAGTTCGGCAACACAATGGTCACATGTGCCGGATCCGAGATCTTTCTACAGCAGGGGTGGCGACGTTCCGATCCAGTACTCTCATTTATATGCTAGCCTTTCAAAGATTACGGGCGGTGGAAACAGAGCTTGGAATAGGAATGTACTATTCGCAGCAGGGAATCTAGATGCGGCTAGCAAGCTTGCCGGAATTGCCTGCGAGATGTCCATGTATGGGAGGAGCAATGTCCATTTTGCACTAATAGGCGATAACGACATGGATATGGAGCGCTTCCGGGAGTTCAATGGAATTACAGAGGAGAACACCGACTGCAGGGCAATCTTTCATGATGCCCGCGCTGATTTTACGGAGTTGATGTCTGTAGAACGAAAGAAGCTTGTTGTCAGAACGGCGCTCAGGCATCTAAGGGACTTTATGCACCCGCAAGTGCTAATAATGTCAGCGGAGCACGAGGACGGCTGGTTCAGTACCACTTTAACGGATACGGCAAAAAAATTACGGGTGCCCACAATCGAGCTCCCGTGGGGCCCCGCAGACGGTCTGAGATGGATTACTAGGCTTGACAGCGGCTCTTTAAGTGGTAAGTTGCATATATGCTTCCTACAAGCCTCATTCTACCTCTACTTTCGCGCGAAAAGGATTGGCTTACGAAATTTGTGTTTACCTTTCTAGCATGGCATAAACCCAACTTCGAGATAGTTATACATGCAGACAAACACTCTGGAAACTTGGAACGTCTTCTCAAGTCTTTAGAATCCGCATTCTACCCGACTGCTCATCACCGACCCAAGAGTTTAACTGTCATCCTCAATCCCTCTGTCCCTCTCCATCCGTTTACCAAATCATTCCTTTCACGCTATTCTTTCCCTTCCCCGAGCAGAACATTCATCAGACGACCTCTCACCGCCCCTAAGAATCCACTCGAGTCCGCGAAGCAGTACATTGAATCCTTCTATCCAGATAGTGACGACACATCCGTCCTAGTTCTTGACTCTAATGCTGAGGTTTCAAAATGGTACTATCATTACCTCCTATTCACAACGCTAGAATACAAATACTCCTCCTACCAGTATCACGATACCGCTTCGCTCTTTGGTGTTTCACTTGAAGAACCACCTTCATATCTGAACGGAAGCAGTCCCTTCAACATTCCTGCTCTATCAAAAGGAAGCCAGCCGTCACCATTCCTGTACCCAGTTCCGAATACCCGAGCCGCCCTATTCTTTCCAAAATACTGGAGCGAATTTCATACTTACTTCTCAAAAAACCTACTTCACCCCCACAAATCCTCGCCCTCCGAGAATGATACCGAGCCCGTACCCTTTCCGTTGAGTGACATGGCAGCAAATTCTTGGATAGCCCCAATATTGGACATCATTCGGGCACGAGGCTATGTAATGCTTTATCCAGCGTTCGCTTACGAGTCGCTCGCGATTGTGCACCACGAACAGCCATCATACACCCGCTCGATCCGAGGAGGGGGGAGGAGAACCGTCAAGGAGAAACCCCTTATGGAGAAAAACAACCTCCTGGACTCACTCCCGAATGGCGATCTACCGGTATATAACAGTGAACTGCCCCTAATAGATTGGTGGGGCAGGCCTGCCCTGTGGGATTGGCTAGAGCTGGACGCGCTTAACTACAGGAAGTACATCTCGAATTGTAAGGTGGAGGATACTGGGTTGCCATGGATGGTCCACAATGTTGACGACATATTTTGCGATACCGACGGGAATAGTTTGGAATGAGTGTTTGAGTTATGTTTGAAGGACGGGAAGGAGGGAAGATTTTATAGAGGATATGGACGACGTCGGCGTGTACGGAACTATTGGCGTTATTTGGCTAAAAACATTTTTTGCGTTCTGATATCACGATTTAGTCTTCGTTAGCCCCCCTTGACACTGCCCTTCACGTTTGTACGAGTACATTCTTTTTCACTTGGGTATCGGGATATAGTCTTGTAATGGTTTTGACGCATAATATGGTTTGAAGAGTTTCAATCAGTGTTTCCAATCGTCCAGTCGGACGGCACTAGGGCCACCCACTCGAATAGTCTAATATTTTTTGCTTCAGGAACTCTGGGGGGCTACGAACAGGGAGGGCATGTTTCTACAAATACATAATAATCGCAGATTGAGCTCTCTCCATAATGTTTCCCTGCTGCGGTTGTACATATGTAGCCGAGCCGAAGCTGGGCACCTAAGCTGGGGATTCCCATATCAAGAGACCAGCCTCAACCGCCGCTCTTACAGTTTCTCACCATGACCCGTTACCGTATAGTGCTAGCGTGTGCTTGCGTTCCACTTAATTTATGCACCACAGGAACCCCACCCTTTGATACATATGTCGACGGCGCATAAATTAGTCTGGATACAAGTACTTCACTTGGTGGTATATTGACCAATTCTAGCCATTCGTAGTTGACCGCCGCCCACCAGGCCGAAGACGGCGTCAAGGCAGTCACCCCATCCAAGGAGGAGACGCCAAAAATTCCTTCCCCACGATGTGAGGATGTTGGGAAATAGAGCGGATTCATGGCTCCACTTTGGGCAATCAACGGGAAACGTCGAAATAGATATGGAGAGAGATTCAATCTTTCGAACCCAAAAGCCAAAAGCAAGAGACCCTCCTCCGATCTCTCGCCTTCAGTTACTCGGCTACGATGCCGTGTAGATGTTGAAGCTACCAGCTTTCGTCGGGATGAGGATCTCCACTAGCTTTTCCATGGCTATTTGGGCAGGTCTCTCGAGTGTGGTAGTTTACGAAAATACGTAGCTTAAGTTATCACCCAAGGTCACTCGTGCTAGTCACGAGATTTGGGTTCATGGTTGGTCACTCGAGTAATTATTAACGGCTCCAGGTTTGGAGGTCGGGAGCGATGCCCTGAACGAAATTATGATACTTGTAATGCAAGTCGCGAATATCCCGCCATAGCGCTCCTCTAATATGACTATGGTACGTACGTTCACTTGACGGGCCCTCAGCAGTATGATGCATCTATAAATCTTAACCCTCTCTAAATCCCCTCTTATCCAGAGTCAAACCCACCCATCTTTCTATCCTTGATATCCCGGCTATGGCTATTCCCTTTTGCACAAGGAAGGAATTTGCCGTTAGCTGTAAGTGATCAATGTTTGTAACTATATTTCCTTGGGGATATATCTGCCCCGGCAACGCATCCGATGTTTAGTGGTAGAACGGCACTATCCCCATCATTAACATCAGGCGGAGAAAAGAGAATATTATCAAAATCCGAAGACACTAGTCAGCAGTATTACATGAAATACATAATTGGCACGGTGATTGTGATGTCAAGAGCCGATCAGCCCCTGTGCGGTTAGCAGAAGCCAAGGAATGCAATTCTCCCTCATACTGAGGTAGCATATCATCGAGCGATTGGAGGTAAAAACAAATAGGCGCTGCTCCATGGGGAGTGGGAGGTTGAAGACCACGGCTTTCCTCGATAAGGCTTGTATCGTAGGGGGAATCGGTCGCGCCATGAGGTGGTAGGGTCCAACTCCGGGCCAAACACCCAGGGAGAGGATTGCAATCGGCAGGGTGATTGCCAGAAAGAAGAGACAAGAAGAAGAAAAAAATGTTGTTTTCACTCTTCATTTGGAAAAAAGGAAGTGCCAAATCTGGGTGACATCACTCTCCGGTGTGAGAATTATTTAATCGGTCTACGGGAGTGGCCAATTTTCCAACAAAATCTACTCTCTGAATTGATTGACTACCTTGTAAACTTACCGAATTTTCTCACAGGAGAACCACCGTATTAACGAAAGACATGAGATCCACTCAACAGTGTGATAGCTACAGTGAATCTCAAGCTTTTTCCATAGCTCATCTACAGATTTTGCAATTCAAAACAGCGCAGTGGGTTGGTTTGCGCCATGTTAGCCTTGGAGGGAGAAGTGGTTAGGGCACCATTCCTTCCAATCACGGGCTTTTTGGCTCTCCTCGCACGGCATTGTGCGATTCGTGAACGGGTATGATATTGCATAGCAAGCACGATATCCGCAAGCATCAGATAGAATCTGGCTGCCCCATAAGGACTAGTTATCTGGCGCCAGAAGAAACTGCTCTTGTCACAGCTGACATTGTTAACTACCTTGAAATTTAGACACAATCCCCCTGAACAAGTTTTACCGTAAACGATAAATATTTTGACCCTTGGGCGACTAGGTGTATGGGTGCATGTTTGGGGGGGGGGCGATGGATTACCCCGGAATCTTTTCCTGGGAGCCGGAGCCCAACTATTTTTCTATTTCTGATACCGCTGTTCTATGATAACTACCCCTCCAAATATGTGGAAACTATGTGGTTAGGGGACAGTGTCCAATATCCATAAATTCAGTTCTTGAAGATATATCTGCCATTAATACTGAACTCATGGCAAGACCATCCCTGCTCGCGTATGAATAGCTAATCCCTGCTATATACCTATCGCTACCGACTCAGCTGATAATCTTCAGCTACCTACCCCGCCGATACATAAATGTTTCAAGCATCTTCTTTGCGTGAAGCTAGGATGTATTTATTTATTTTTCTCTAGGGAGATGCTAGTACCCCTCTTACTCCATCTAGGGGTTATGTCCCTTACTTGCTGATCGCCGGTCTCTCGGGTCTCCGCGCGCCCTTCTCCCACCCCACTTACCGGGGACGAGATTTAACTGATGAGTTATTAAAGTTAGATCCCGCCAGTAAAGTAACACACAAGATCCTAATATCAATATACCTCAGTGACTCAGTCAGCTCTCCAGAAGGAAGTATAAATTAGTGGACACGAGCCTCCCGGGAATGCGGTGCCAGGTTAGGAACACCCTGGGTACAAAAGCTTCCTGCACTGATCCCGGATGCGACTGCCTCTGTTCCCGTTTGGCACGGAAGTCCGGGACTTTACATTAAACGTCTATCCTACGATAGCTATAGTCTTCAGCTCTCAACCGGGTCCCCTGATGCAGATGTAGTATGATATAATACCAACCTAGCAAACTTTGGTTGGGAAGATAAATTGCGCTCGCTACTGGAGAAAACCATATCCATTTCACCAAGTTACACGGCCCCTACAGGTGCACGGGCTAGGATTGCTGCCCTAGGCCCCCACATACCCAAGAGTTAGAATCGTCATTAAGGAAAAATTGTTTCCTAGAGGCCCCGGGGCGGCAGATAGAGCGAACCAACCAGCCGTCGGTCAAGCAGCTCAGACAAATAAACAACGCAACTGAAGTGTCCCACCTTCCATACTCGAGCGTCGAGTGACTACACATGACCGCTTGTCTCTACCAGCCAACCACGTGATTCCAAGAACCGTACCACACCGGCAGCATACTTTCCACTGGGCGGTTAGAAACCCCAAAACCACAGCATCTGTCACCAGTGCAGGACCTAAGACCCGCAGTACTGTACGAGTATCATACATCTCCCTATGGGGTTTGTCTCGTCAACAGATCAGGATCACAGGAAGAAACAGGGGGAGGGGAGGGGAGGGGTTCTCATAGAACCAAGAGAGTTAGGCATTAGGCAGGACGGGGAGGAATGAAAAAAAAAACTGACGCATGTTTACGGTACTTCATCCACTGCAGCTTCCCGCCACTCCTAACAGCAACCCGATCCGGGAATCCATCCCCGGTCACAATGTTTCAGGAAGACCACATGAAACAGACAAACAAACAGGCACAAACGAAGGTGGAGCTCACAAATCATCACTCGACTGAGCGCACGGAGCCGGCCGGAAGGGACCAGCCAACCGGGCAGTTGCAGGAACTGCCGCAAGGCTCAGTAAACTCTCAAAGTCGAGGTTTTCCCGGGAAATCGAGCTGGGGTGGGAGTACCGTCCATCCTGTACCGTATGCAATGAGCATGGCCTCTCGCTCACTCACTCACTAACTTGCTTACAGTACCCCATATACGCTCCACCATTGGGGATGAGATGCCCTGCCGGGGGGGGGCGCCGGCGGACCAAGTTATCAGCACAGCACCTAAGCGCATTGCGGTAGAGTAGGGACAAATAGTTGGGGCCATATGTAACCGGGGATTGCATGACATACCCCATGGATCTTACGTGCTGCTTCAGATGACTTGGAAGGGGGGGGAGGGAAAAAAAGTCGATGATCATGGTAGGCGGATTGGGGGGGGGGTGTTGACGGTGAGTCGCTGACCTCATTGCGAACCGGATATTCTCGGGTGTTGGAGAGCGCGTATTCTCGCCTGATTGCTTACCGTACTCCCTTTTCAGGATCGGCCACAGGATTGGTTAGATAGGGATCCAGTGCTGGCACTGCCGATCAAAGTTGGTATAGGTCGAATTCCACCAACAGGCCGCTGTCCGGAAAAAAAAAAGAAAAAAAAAAAGAAACCAATCATGATAGGTACACGAGTGATGTTTTATGATTTCGAATTGTTCGCGCATATGCATGTTGGTCCACGGTGCCTAGGGCTAGCATTTCAATTGCAATCATAGAGAGCGATGGGGCGGAAAATGATGCATGCTAAAGTATGATACCTGGCCGCTTGTGAGGCCCAGGAACGTTCTTGTCAGTAAGGAGTAATTCTTGGAGTTCAATATCTACAGTAGTAGATAACTTTTAGGGGTAAACCACAAATCTAGAATACAGTGGGAAAAACACATCGTCCAAGAAACCCCTGCAGGAGGTTTGGTTGCTAGAGCCACCCATTGAAAATTGCTCTCCCAGGAAGAGAGTATTCAGTTTCCTCTCTCCTTCTTTTTATATCTGATAAACCGCTGCAAATTTAACAGTGCATCGTCTGCCCTCAGTCGATCCTCCGGAAACTTATTTTTATCGATTTTCTTAAACTTAATTTATTTGAAGCGTTAGATGTATCTTGCGGGCTAGGTTAGAGAAAGGAAAGAGTGGGATTCCTACAGCTGACCTGACCCCAGGTATTGCTTTCGAGAGGTGATCAAGGAAGGCATTCCTAACGAACACAGGTTCATCATAATCGAATTCTGCATCGGCATATATATCGAATATAGCATTCAGCGCTTCTGCCAATGGGCTGGCCGGGGTATTTGCACCGCTGGAAACCAAAGTCATAAGGAAAACGCCAATTTCCTATTTGTCAGGTTAGACATATCCTAATAACGTAGATGTGCAAGGTATATACCTGATTGACTTCAATTCTCCCTTGCGCAAGACCAAGGCACCCAAGAACGCCAACACATTTTGTTCGCAATTCATCAGTATTTGCTGCATGGTAGAGGCTAACGAATGCCCTGTGCTCTCCTTGTGAAACGTCGAAGCCTCCCTTCATAGATTTCGAGACCGCCCAAGCAAGGCCTGTAACTGCTTCCGCGAGCTCCACATCTGCGGTATTAGCAACAAGGACAGGTGTAACACAGATTTTCCATATCTCGTGAGCCAGTTTCTGCCACCTCTCCCACAGGGCCGATCCTTCGGAAAGTGTTGCATCAACAGTCCAAGCGATATTATTTAATACGCTCAATGCTCGCATGTGGATGGGTAATGAACCGCCGGCACCCGATTTTACAATTGACAAGAGCGCCGGCCCAGTGCTTATAACCAAATAGTGCAACACCGTTCCTTCCCCCGAGTCCGGGGAATCTTGATTACTCTCATCACCCACTATCATTTCCATATCCGCCCGTAATGATCCATCTAGCTCCTCAGGGGCGCCTACGTCTTTTCCATCTCCATCTTCGCTCATATAGTCTATGCCATCATCCTGGTCTGCCCCTAAGACTAACTCCGGGACCCCATCTGTTGCTTCTGTTGCTATGGAAGCCAGTATTTCCAAAACAAGTTGCTTGAAGGCAAGGACTTTTTGTTCGTCATCAGTAGGAGATGTGGCAGGTGTTGATTTGAGAAAATCAGTCAGAATTGGCACAATGTTGAAATCAGAGATCTCCTGATCGGCAGCTACATCTGTCCCTTTTAGCGCGAGTGATATATTATGGAGGGAACCTGGGTATTATGATAATGCTTAGTCAAACGTATGTAATATTATCAAAGAACAATTTGCCCATACCACAAATATAGAGACTCTTTAGGCTAGGGCTTGACCGATCACGGAGTTTCAGCAACAGAGAAACGTAGTTACTACGGTCCGAAACAATAGCCTCGACAAAATCGTCGCTTTCCTCGGTGAGAGAGTAGAGGCATTGGGCTACCGTTTCATGCAGGCTTTCTAGCCTTTCCGAGGGTTCGTTGAGAACTTCCATAAGAAGAGGTAATATCTCCAGTTTGACTATTGCCCCTGCCACCTCCTCGCTTGTCTCACTAGAACAAGGACTTAGCATTAATCAACAGCTTAAGCGCTCAGTATTCAGGACTACCTAAGGCCAGCGATAAGGCCAATAACATTCTCGGCATACAACCACAGAATCCTCTGTTCTGTGCTATTGAGGGATCCTGGGTTGGTGCGCCGAGAGTTTAACGTACACGAGATCTACGAAAGAATTAGCCCTGCGAATATAACTGACTTTAATTTATCATACCTTCTGCAAGGCGCTTGCGACCGGGGTCAAAATATTTTTCCGGTACATAAAGATGCTCTGGTCGTAACCCTCATCCACTGAGATGTTTCTGAGAGCGCCCCAGGCATACACAACAACCTCTTGCGAAGAATCATTGAGCATCTCTTCCATCAATTTTTGTACCACCCTCTCGCGGAGCAGTAATTGGCGACAAGTGGCATCCTGGAGTAGATTGTTTATCGCTGATACGGCTTCCGCTCGCTCTTTAGGCGAGGTAGATGAGAGGTTTTTCACAACAGGCAAGACCGTGGATTCCCGGAGAGTATTATTGGCCGCCTTGTCTGCAGGGTTCGGTGGCCTAGAAGCAGCAAGGCTACCCTTTTTCCTGCCATGCTTTTTCCGAGATTTATCAGCTTTGCCCATGGCTTCCGAGTTGAATATAAAAATTGATATTGCGGGGCTCTGTGAAGAATTCTGGCGGCAGACACTTTCCAACGGTGAAAAGAAGAAAAAAGACTGTGGGAACAAGCAAAGTCACGTGCGAAGGCTAAAGTCGAGCGTTGAAGCCGGGTAACACTCCTAATCACGGGGAATGACAGATCAGACGCGACCCATGACCCATGTCGTGTTCGCGCGTCAAGCTCCGATAGCTGCGTTGTCCGTGTCTGCGTCTGAGTGTGTGTGGCAACCCCCGCCTTCCTATCTTTCCCACGGTTTCGCTTCACTTCTCCGCTCTCCACTCCTCAACTCAACCCCCCGATGGATTCCGCAGACCTAAGAGGTTCCAAGAGAAAAGCAGACGATGCAGACACCCCTCCTTCTCCTGCTTCCGCTACTCCTCAGCTCCCCCGGAGAATAAAGGTTCTCCTTTACCGTGCCTTATCGGGGCTCCTTGCTGTGTGGCTTGTGCTGACTCGGCCTCTGTTTATGCACAGCCTCTAGACCAGGTAGTTGTTAATAAGATAGCTGCTGGTGAAATCATCGTGGCCCCAGTCCACGCACTGAAAGAGCTCATCGAGAACTCCGTTGATGCGGGATCCACCAGCATCGATATCCTAGTGAAGGATGGCGGGCTGAAGCTTCTCCAAATCTCAGACAATGGTCACGGAATTGATGTGAGCAACGCCCTGGGCGCAGTAGAGGCGGAATTCGCTCATGATAGCTGATTGGTTAAATTAATTTTAGGAAAATGACTTGCCCATTCTATGTGAAAGATTTACTACTTCCAAATTACAGTCATTTGAAGATCTTCAGTCCATTGGAACCTACGGTTTCCGGGGTGAGGCTTTAGCGAGCATAAGTCACATTGCTCATCTGACCATCACCACTAGAACGGCAAACTCACCTATTGGCTTAAGGTATGTGCAATTCGAGCACCTTTGACGCTCATTCAATTGACCATGTCCAAACTTTAGAGCAACCTATTCAGATTCAAAGTTAATTACTCCAAAACCGGGTCAACCCGCGAACCCAAAGCCAGTACACCGCAACAAGGGAACACAAATCACTGTGCGTTCCCTTCTTTTATGCACTGCATCGCTCCCCCCTTCCCCCCCCTTCCCCCCCTTACCCCGTGACTTCTAGACACTTGTGAAATGGACTGGCTCTGCATACCGCACGTATATATGCGATATGCGTTCAGATCTAGCCCGGCTTGCTTCACCAATGCCTGAGATCGGGTCTCGGGCGTCATGAGTTGGTTGTGACAAACTGCATGACTTCTAACGTCGTCTATAGGTCGAAGATCTCTTCTATAATGTACCTAGTCGGCGTCGAGCATTCCGCAGCCCCTCAGAAGAATATACCAAAATTCTTGATTTAGTTGGTAGACACGCCGTGCATTGCGGAGGCGTTGCTTTTAGTTGTAAGAAGGTAGCAGCTTCTTTGAAACTTCTTCGAGTCAAGTTCTAAATTGTCCTCTTAGTATGGTGACGCAGATGTGGGTGTATCTACTACGGCAGGGGCCACAACCACTGATCGTATCCGGCGAATTCACGGCAATGCTGTCGCGAATGAACTCTTGCCATTTGAAGTTTCAGACGAGTACCTTGGATTTAAAGTGAAGGGCATGCTAAGTAATGCCAATTATCATGTCAAGAAAACGACGCTGCTTCTTTTTATCAACAGTGATCTAACCCCTCTTGGTTATAGACCTAAGCAAGGCATTGATTGATTCTAACTTCCCAGGCAGATCGCTCCGTAGATTCCTCTTCCATCAGGAAAGGGATCGAATCCACATACGCACCGTTTCTCCCGAAAGGTGGTCATCCGTTCGCATATATGTCTCTGGATATCGAGCCTCACCGGGTGGATGTCAACGTACATCCAACCAAACGGGAAGTCAACTTCCTTCACGAGGAGGAGATCGTGCAAAAAATATGCGAATCGCTACAAGAGAAGCTGGCGGCAGTTGATACTTCCAGGTCTTATGCACTGACGCAGGCACTTCTTCCATCGGCCAAGGCTGTTCCTAGCAACTCCTCAGGACAGAAGGCCGCTGCAAGGGCGGCAAGTAGAACGGAAGAAGGCGCACAGCCACTCGTTGCGAAACCCAAAAAACCTTATGATTACAATATGGTGAGAGCCGACACACGTGATCGAAAAATTACCACAATGCTGCAGCCGAAGTCTCAAAAGGAAGACGGGGGAAGCGCGGAGGGTGACGAATACGAGTATGACGACAATCGCCAATGGACTTCCGTCAAGTATCAGACCATAAAGAAACTAAGGAAGGCAGTATGGGACACCAAGCATAAGGATCTCTGCGAGCTATTTCACAATCATGCCTTTGTTGGAATAGTTGATGAACAAAGGCGTTTAGCAGCAGTGCAGCATGGCCTGAAGCTCTATCTCGTCGACTATGCAGCCGTTGCCTTTGAACTGTTTTATCAGATTGGGCTTTCGGACTTTTCAAATTATGGCACCATCCGTCTAAACCCTCCTTTGGCATTGAAGGATATTCTGGAAATCGCAGTTGAGGATGAAAGGAAAAGGGCGGAAGATGTCGACTCGGACTCTAGCAATGAATTCGATTGGGAAGGTGCTTATAAGGTAAAATATTCGTGCGCCACGGAATCGGCTATTATTTCCTGCTAACCCGGATGCGTTTTCTTTTCTTTTTTTTTTTTTTTAGATCGTGGATACCCTCGTCAGCAGAAGGGACCTGTTGAAGGAATATTTCTCAATGGACATCAGCGAACAGGGTGAATTGGTGAGTATTCCGCTTCTGCTGAAGGGCTACATGCCCAGTCTTGGAAAGTTGCCCTCCTTCATACTCCGGCTCGGACCCAATGTGAGACCGCCCCCATTCGCTCCCTTCCCTGTGCAGAGCGCACGGAACTGATAAATCGTTGGGCCAGGTGGATTGGTACTCGGAACTTGAGTGCTTCGACACGTTTTTACGGGAACTAGCCCTGTTCTATGTTCCAGAAATACTGCCGAAGGTTGACACGAGCTCCGATTCGCCGGATAACGAGAAGGAGGAAGAAGGCGGCGCAGGCGGTTGGAGGGATGCTACCGCGCTTGCAAAGAGGAAAGACGAGCTGAACCGAACAGTTGAAACGATACTATTCCCTGCTTTTAAAAGGAGGCTAATCGCGCCACCATCTCTGCTTCAAGGCGTCACCGAGATTGCCAACCTGAGGGGCCTGTACAAAATTTTCGAAAGGTCGTGTTGAACGGGGGGGGGGGGGTTAAATCACTCGAATCAAAAAAACTCAGGGGGGGGGGGCAGAAGAGAGGATGATGCCGGGAGAAATTTTTTCGCTCGCTCGTTCGCCGCATGACTCAGAAAGCCACCATGCTAATACCATGCCATGCGCTGAAGTGTGTTTCCATTTCCCTTCCATTCATTCATTCCCTCTTGCTTGCTTGCCGTGTGCGCGCAGTCACAGTCAGTCTCTCTGCAGTACAGTGGCTCGCGAGAGCAAAGGTGGGCATACAAATGATGGATGATGATGGGACGGAAAAGTATTGTAATTGATCTTTATTATAATGTTTGTTTTTTCCCCTGCACGCTTCTCCCCCGTTGCTCGCAACAGTTGGGCAATGCGTGTGAAATAGCGGACAAAAGTTCTAATCGTATTCCTCTTTAAAATATATATAAAATGCCGGGCATCCATGCCAATCTATACCCAATAATAATGTCTAAACCGAACCAAGGCATAATGCTTGAAAGGAAAGGAAAAGCGTAAGGATGAAAGGGAGAGAAGGAAGGAAAAAAAAAAAAAAAAAAACAAAGCAAACAGCATCCCAAATTTCTTTTGAACAAACCCGCCCGAGACAGAAAAGGAAAAGGAGTCATTAAGAGGAAAAAAAAAAAAGATTAAGGAGAAAAGGGGTAAAAAAAGTGTAAAAGGATAATAAACGAAAAAAAGTATAAAAGATAAAAAATAAAAATCACAAAAACTCCAAGTCCTTTATAATTATACTGCAATCGAGACAAAAGAAAAGCATTAAAAAGTAAAGCGGGAGAGAAAAGACTCCAGAAAGGAAAGGGAAAGAAGGAAAAAAAAAAAAAAAAAACTCCTGCGAGAAGAACACCTTTTCATGAATGTCGCCGCCCGATGCAAATCAACCATCCATTCCTGATTTTGCCGTTGTTCTGCCCTTTTTGCCAAAGCCGATAATTACATATGCCATAGGTTTGTCGCTCTCTCAAGCCGAATGGGGGGAGATCCTTACGGACGCTGAGGAGGTGGAGCCGGAGGTGTTGTTGTGATAAGTTGAGAGGGAAGAGAGTAGCGAATTTTTTTTCGTTGTTTTTTTTCTTTTTTTCCCTTTTGCCAAGTGAGTCCGGTTTATGCATTTATGCAGAGAGGACCCGACCAGCCCCGGCTGTCACCGACATTTTGCGACTCGACCGACGATCCATTGGGGGACGGACCATGATGTCGAGAGGAGCAGGATTGCTGCAGTTGGGACCGAGTACTATAGGTCGCTGTTTCACGAAGCCGAGTTTCTGGTACATGGCTACGTTCCTCGGATGACTGCTCTCGAGATAGCATGGTTTGCCGCCTTCTGCGTCGAGCTAAGGCAAGAAAATAAGTCAACATCAAACGTTCAGTGGAGTCAACAACCTAAAGAATGGGTGCAAGTGTAGGGATGGGTGGGTGGGAATCTGGATGGATATGATAGGGCCATATCCCCCTCAGCCCCCCTCCTCTCATCCACCCAGAGCGGTGTATGGAGCGAAGCGCGGTGACTGAGGGCGGTGGGGCTGTGATGTAGGTGAGAAAGCAACAGAGCGCGTAGTGGAATAATCCAGCGCTCCGTGCCCACTCTACCCAACCATAAGGACGGACGAAATTAAGCTACACACCTGTTTTGTCACGTATTCAATGAGTTTTCTAGCGTAGCCCCTCCCTCTCGCGCTGGGAATGACGCCGACATAAACCAGGTACCTGCCGAATGATTAGAGATGATCCTGTGCAACCCAGCTCCTTCTAGAAGGACGCAGAACGTAGGAACTTACCATGTGTCACTATCTTGCGCCCCCATAACTGACTCCCTATTCGGAAGAAGAAAAAAAAATGCAAGTCAGTGAACCATTCTCAATAAGCACATGTATTATTATGTCCCCCAGCGCCGCACATAGCCGACCAAGGCGATCCGAGAGCCAATTCACGAGGAAAGCAAAGCGAAGGGCAGAAATACACAAAAAAATGACATTCCACGGGAAGGAGGGGGGGGGAGGGGGGAAAGAGAAAATGGGCTTGTTGTGAAACCCGAGATGAGGGAATAGCTTACTTGGTGCGATGTAGGATCTCCATGAACTCGTCGAAATACCGCCTCTTTCCCTCTTTGGTCAACTTGTACCACAGCCTCCACATACCGCTACGGAAGATTGTGAACCAGTCATCCATGTTCTTTCCCGGCGGCATCCTAGGCCCGGAAATCAGCGTTAGCGAATTGCTTTTTTTAAATCCCGCCCATTGGCCGGCACAGCCCAGTGTGCAGCAAGCAAAGCCAGAAAGAAGGGCAGAAGAAGGGCAGAAGGAAGGGGGGAAACTTGGGTAGCGGTAGGAGCAATCCATGCATGCAGGTCTTACCATAATGCTACGCCTTCGTGATTCTCTCCTATGCTCAGGACGAGACCGTTGTAGCAGTGGGCCGCAACGATGTATTCCAGAATCTCGCGGTGCAGTGGGTACAGCTCCTCCCTGGTCTTTCCGCCATTGTCGGGGGTGTCGAGAAAGTAGAAGGCAACGTCGTCCTTGAAGAAAGCTTCAGCGAGCGTGTCCGCAGCCGGCTTGCAATCCCCAATTCCGAGCTCCCGTACCTCATCCGAGGCGTATGGTGGTAAGGTTGTCGTTGTCGTTGTTGTTGCGATCATGGTTGTGATTGTGATTGTGATTGTTGTTGTAGTAGATATGGTTGTCGTATGCGTATGATGAGGCTCTTCCGTCAAGGAAGGAAAGATTAATCGAGCAGTAGATTGTCGGGAGGGAGGGTTGGATAGGATGCAGTATAGCAGCGTGGTAGCGGGGAGGGAACCTTTATAAGTAGGTGGGAGGTAGGAAGGTCTTGTGTAGGTACGGTACTGTTGGTGGTGGTGGTGGTGGTGGGCTGTGGGCAGGCGTAGGAGGTGTTATTTATCGCGCTAGGTATGATACCCGTGACGAGAGATGGTTTCCTTTTAATCCCCTTGGAAAAGGAAAAAAAAAAAAAAAAGGTTACCCTTTCTTCTTTCCTTTTTCTTTTCTTTTTTTCTCCTTCCTTTTTTTTTCTCTCGTTTCTTCCGATGAGCTAACGAACGAGAGACAAATGGTTGGGACCCGTTACAGGGAAGTGGGATTTGGGGCGGGTGGGTGTTCAATATGGAGGAGGGTAGGGGAGGGGATGGGAAAAGGAAGCGGCGGTCCTGAGTTGGGGGGGGGTATAAATAAAATCAAACGGGGGGGGACTCGACTGCCCGTGAGACAAGGACGAGGTGTATGATATGATACGGGGAGCCCCAAGCTGCTGGCTGCTACAGTAAATCGTCATTCAAGTCGGCGGGAAAGCAAATTGCAGGAAAAGGCTGAGAGAGAGAGAGAGCTGTGTGAAAAGCGTTAGGGTTCGCAGGGCAGATGATCTGTTTGCTTTCCAGGCATATCACAACCTACGATACACGATGGGGGACACCATGATGGCAACGTCAATGGGAGTCTCCCCCCTCATGGTGCCTGATGTTTTATTCCGAGCTGTTTACGGTGGATGCTGTACGAGTACAGTACCGTAAATAGTAGCATACGGTAAGGAGAGCACTGCTGAGGTAGTCCGTTGTTGCTTCACCTCTACCGCACTGTGTTTTAGATTTGCCTATGGGGTTGCTCTGGCTATGGCACCGCACAGCACTCTTCATTTCTTTTTCTTTTTCTTTTTCTTTTTCTTTTTCTTTTCTACCCTCTCCCTCTCCTTCCCTCTCTCCCCCCTTCCATCCTTCGCTGCGGCGGCGGCGGCGAGAAGGCTGGCTGCGCAAGATCCAATTTCAACCGGGCGAATGTGCTCTGAGCTCTTTCATCCATCCCATCCCATCATCCATCACCTCCTCCTATGATATGATAACCCCCCCCCCCGGCACCGCACCGGTAGTCCCCCCCGTACCACAACCACAACCACAACCCAAAAGCTGTATATAAAATATTAAAAATAATAACACAACAACAACAACAATAATAATAATAAAAAGCACTCGTAGAGCACCGTATGATAAAGCAGAGTCCACACACTGGGCTAATCCCAGTCCGTCCATCACTCCTTCTCATCCTCAGCTCTCCCAAACCCACAAGCTTCATGAGCCGCTACGCTACCGGCATTCTACGAGTAACCCGCAATGTTCCCCAACCAAACACCGCGTTTCCGCTCTCTGACCTCCACCGCAGGCTCGCTTTCGCGCGCGCGCAACCCTCCGGCCTTTGTGCCTGTCTTTGTCTCTCTGTCCAATGCTGCTGCTGCCCTCCCGTACCCTTACCGTACCTGACCTGACCTGACCCCCCCCCCCCACCACTACCACCCGCCTTCCTCTTCCTTCTTCCTTCTTCCTCTTCTTCACTCGAGTCCAGTCACCACGGTAACAAGGCACAAAGATGCCAGTCCCAGTCATATCATACCATACTGATTCCGCTCCCTCACCCGCTTCAGCGCATCGGTCACCATAATATTATCATAACCCGTATCATATCATACATGCCATCCATCCATAGGGAGAGGGAAGAGAGAGATTTTTAAAATAAATAAAAATAAAGTAAAAAAAAACTCCCCCGTCGCACAACCATAGCCCTTCTAGAACGTGAGAATGAAAAATCCCAAAGGTTCTACTCTACTGTACTCCAAGCCCACCACCACCACCACCACCATCACTGCATACCGATACATCGGCGAACGCTTCTTACCGCTTACTTCGTTACGGTGCAAGAAAGAAGCATCGGTCGACGTTCGAGAAGGACGTCCAATGACGCAGTTCCCACCAGGACACCGATTAATGAATCGAGCTGCAGATGGGGCAGAGGATGGAACGGATGTATCGTGTGGATGTGTGGATGTATGTACGGTATGGATGTATGTATGCGCCCGCACCGGCACCCTCGGATCACAAGACTAGGAAGGGTAACACACACACATACGAGTACATATCATACCGTACTGTACACACATGCACACACACACAAACTCTCTCTCTCTCTCTCTCACTTGCTCCCTTTTTGTTCGCGAGCAAAAAAAAAAAAAAAAAGCGAGCAAGCAAGCAAGTACCGTACCCCATAACAATCCCATGCGTATCATACAAAAGGAGAAGGAGAGGGAGAGAGAAAATAACGAGAAAACCCCCCCAGTACCGTAGCCAATCACCATGAGCCCCTCTGACTCGTCACTTGTACTCGAGTACCGTACCGTAAGCTGCAGACGCCGTGGGGCTTTCCAGAGCGCGCCCGCGCCCACTTTCCTGCTCCCACGATTTGACCCCATCCCAACCCTGTCCGGGAGAAAAGCCAGTTTGGTAAAAGATTTGGTAAGAGCCAGAACTCGAGTTACAGTATGATATAATACGTACCGCACTGTACCGTACTGGTACAGTACTCGTCGTAACTCGTGCGTGCGGTGCAGAACGGGTGGATGTGGATGTGGATGCGGGTGGGTGGTGCGGTTATCGCATCGTACATAGGCGATGGAATGTTCGAAGGAACAAAAAAGTGAAGGGAGGGAGGGAGGAGGGAAAGAGGAAAAAAAAAAGCAATGAAGGATCATCACGACGCCGTGTCCTATTCCTTTGCCTGGGGCTCGGCCGAGTGCGTGCCCCAAGGTTTAGGTGGGTACAGGTACAGTACTCGTACGGTTTATGAAGATACGGTAGGTGGCTATCATGGCTACGCTATGTTATACAGTAGGTGAGTGGCTAACCGTGCCTGTGTTACTTTGATGGCTGGCGCAGCACTGTACGAGTATATGGTAAGATCGTGTTATCCTACCCGTAACTTATCATATCATACCCCAACTCGCTGGCGCTGCTGAGATGCTCTCTGCCAGCTGCTAAGTTAAGCAACTGTTCTCCCTCTCTTCCCCCCCCCCCTTCCTGCATGACTAAACGTGAGCCTCGGATACCGTACCGGTATCGCAAGAGCAAAACGGTCGAACAAAGCAGTGTGGACCACACTGTACTAGTACGAGTACGAGTACAGTACAGCACAGGCAATTATAGGGTGCTACCGGGTACGGCAATGTGGAACCAGCAATCCGGACAATCAATCAATCGTTCCCGTCTCTCTCTCTCCCTCCTGGCCATTGCCTATGATACCAATGCCAACCCATCATCCTGAGCTCGTGGTGAACGATAACGCAGCTGTGATTGGCTGAGGGATGGGCAGAGAGCGGAGGACCGGATAAAGTAATACGGGAACAACGACAATAGCAGTGACGACAAAAGGATGGTCTACAATATTACGAAGGGATGCGTCCCGATTCTCCGCTGACCTGTCGTTTACCAGGACCGTTGTTGGGTGAGACAACTTCTCCCCCCCCCAGGAACAAAAAAGACCCGGATGCCCGGTATTCACTCGGTGATCCCACTGATCCAAAATAGACGTTCCACACCTCATCCCCATGCCAATCCGGTACCACCACATCCCTTTCCCCCCCCCGGAGCTGCGTCGATATTCGAAGGAAAAAGAGGAAAGACCATAGGGTTTACGCCCAATTTACCAGGTCATAGGGATACGGTACGAGCGACGATCCAGCTCGAGTCAAACAAGGACAGGGCAAATGAAACGAACAGCGAGCGAGCGAGGTCCGACACCATGGCCATCCAATCCGAGATCCAATGAATCGTTCATAACCCTTACCAGGGCGGCTGGAAGGAGGGGTGGGGAGTGAGGGGACGGAGCGAAGGCAGATTGTCGGTGCTCGTACAGTACGATACGATACCGGACTACGGTAAGGTCGCATCAAGAGAAACGAGCCCATCCTCACTGCTATCCCACAAGAGAACAAATGTGCCAGTGCTCAGAGTCACATCGCGAAACGAAAACGGACAGAGAGAGGCAAGGGGTGAATAAGAAAAGAAAAGGCAAAAGTGAAAAAGTAAAAAAGGGGTCAATGGAGCGAAAGAAGAAAAAAAAACCACGTTTTTCGCTCCTGAAACGAAACACGACAGGCTTACTGCTTGTGGCGAGTGTGCTCACTCCAGGGTACCGATGGTGGACCCGGAGACAGGAGTCTGGCAGCGTCTGATAGCCCCATGATTCATGTCAGATGCTGAAATTGGGTGTAAGGCTGGCCAGAAGATAATTCGACCGGCGGAAACTCGGGCAAAATCGACGAGCGAGTGAGAGGGGAGGAGGGGAGGAGGGGAGAAGGGGAGGGAAGCCATCAAGAAACCGGGTCCAATTTCCAAGGGAACCGCCTTCTTGGAACTCAGAAATACAAAAACAGTCTGACCGTTCTGCCCGCCCCATCCCCTTATCGTAAAAAGTGGGGTGCGATGGTAAGGGGACCCTTGATATACGGTTAGACCCATCTATGAATTTCATTTTTCTTTCCGGGGAAAACCCTTTTTTTTTTTTTTTTTTTGATGCCCGTTCCCCCACAGCATCCCAGGCTAGGCGAATATTATTTATTTATTTGTTTTTCCCAAACAATTGCCCTGACTCTCCTTCCTTCCCATCCCGTAATCCCTCTTCCGCCCCCCCCCTGGGTTCCCGGCATCGCAACGAAGCGAAAGCCACCGGACAAATCAATCAATCCTTTGGAACATTCCACCGCTCGTTTAAACCATCCACACCACAGACCCTCCCTCTCCCTTCCCTCCCTACCGGTACGACGTGGATGCGAGAAAATCGCTAACCATGGCATACCGGTACCGTACTCGAGTACCGGTACTTTTTTCCCAGCCCAAAAGGGGAGATGGAGGTGGGGGACAGTGAGCGTGTGGATGGGAAGGGGGGGGGAAAATGTAGGAAAAAGTAATTATGGTAATCGATATGTGAGAAATCGGCAGTGAATGGAGCATATGATAATCATCAACGTCAACTTCTTCTTCTTCTTCTTTTCCTCCCCTTCTCGTACGAGGATTACAGTTACCACACTCCACTGTGCGCGCTCTCTGTACGTCAAGCCTGCAGTAGAAGTGCCCAAGCAGATTGGGGGATGGCAGTTGGTGGTGGTGGGTATGAAGGCACGAGTAGGTAGTAGGCAGTAGGGTGCACACCTTCATTGCAGCTCTGCTTGCGCAAGCACAGTGACGATGACACTGGAGGACTGTCTTTTTTCCCCTCCCGATGGATGCAAGCACACAATGATCATTAACCCACGGCGCAAGCCAAGTTTTGATAGACCCAATTGTCGATCACCACGGGTCTGTCTCAGATCATCTTAATCTCTGCAGTTCCCTTATCGATTCAGGTCCCAACCACCAAGGACGAAGTCAGCCCCAATCCATTGGGATTAGAGTAAAAAAGAACAATGGAGGAGGGGGGGGGGTCCAGTGCTACAGCACCACCACACTGCCGTACAATGCCGTACTAGGGCACTACCGTACTCTACCGGTACTCGTATCATACTGTAGGAGGGGTGGTGTCAGTGAGGGAACGGGAGAGAGAGAGGGGGGGGGCTAACAACAACCCAACTCTTGTCCCCACTCATCTTCCCCCTTCCTTCACGGAGTCAGGTTTTACTTGACTGCGGACCCTTAGGCAATCAGCAATTAGGTCGTTAGGGAACCAGTTCTTTAGGAAAATCAACCGAGACTGGGGCTCGCGACCCGGGTCCAAAGAGGAGCGCGAGAAGGGGGAAGAAAAAAAATTTGGGGTACAGCACTCGAGACTTTGACGAAGGGGGAAGAGAAAAGGGAAAAAGAAAAAAAAAACGAACTAGGATTAGCTTACTGTACGAGTACCTTAAGGGAGATTGTAACTTTGTGTCCTTCCCAAGAACCCTTCTTCCCAGCCAATCGTGGGATTGACTGCACTGCACTTTACTTGACCCTGCGAATTGAACAGGATTGACCGTGAACCCGCCATCGAACCGGACCCAATTGATCAAGTTAGCGCCCAAATTGTTATTGTTTCCCTTTTCCCCTGCTCTACCCATTTCCCTCTCTCTTTTTGCCTCTAATTCCCTTTTTCCTCTCGCAACCAAACTAGGCACCATACCATACCATACCATACCATACCCCTCCTCCTCCTCCTCCTCCTCCCTCCCTCCCTCCCCCACTATCCTCCTCCATATCACTCACTCACTCACCCACTCACTCCGAGTGAAGGAAGCAACGAACCTAACAGCAAGCTAATTACAGTACATGATTGGCCGAGTGCACGCTATATTCACAGCCTTCCACCCCACGTGACCGACCACTCCTCCAACGTGTTGTGATATAATAGAATTTGTTGGTTGGTTCTTGCCTTTTTCTTTCCCCCGAGTATCGCATCACATCACAATACCCCCCCCCCCCCTTCTTCCTCCGCGCTAGACAACAAACCCACTGTGCCATACTGTATGATACTATACTAGTAGTAGTATCATAGCAGTACTGTGCCCTATTTTAACCCTACGGCGCCTGACAATCCCCATCATCCGAAATCTATGATACCAAATCCAACAAACGAACGAACAAACGAACAGGGCTTCCAACAATGACGACAACAACAACAACAATAAATAACAAAGTCTTTTTTGTGGCGGGGGAGGGAAGAGATTGAATATGATTACTTAACCGGTTGGTATATTCCTAAATAAATATAAAAAAAAGAGAAGGAAAGGAGGAGAAAAAAGAAGTCACGATACAAATTCATGCCAAACTTCTAAGGCTCACGTTTGCAAATATAATATGTATCATAACTTTTGTTTCCCAAAATGTGCTGTTTGACAACTGTAATAGAAGCGCCCGCACTGTAAACGGTAACCGGTATTAGTCATCCGCCAACCAACCCACCAACCAACCAACCAACCAACGAGATGATACGATATAACGGGGGGATACAAATATCGAGTTCCTGTAACGACACCGTCACGACACAATACAATACAATACAATACAATACAACACAACACATACAGTACCCTCCACTGTACCATGCGCGTGATTGTGACTGATCCCGTACCGTACTGTATGTACCCCCTGACCAAGCTTTTTTTCCCATATGTCTATCTAGGCCCGGTACAGTACAGTACAATCGCAAAGTACCGTACGATATATATACCCGTAACTCCGACTCGGGCCGCGCGGGTAGACTACCGTACTGTACTGGTATCATCATAGTACTTTGTGCCCACCGTATGATACAAATGACCGGTAGTTAATATACACATATATATATATATATACCGGTACTGTACTAGTACAAGAACGATAAGAGATACGAACGCGAGCAGCTCAATCCGTTTTATCATTTCGGAAAAAAAGAAAAAGAAAAAAAAACTTTTTTTCCCATGACCTTCCTTTCCTTTCCTTTCCTTTCCTTTCCTTCGCTTCGCTTCGTCCCCTTCCGCTGATGATGATGATGATGTGTGTGTGTGTCTGTGGTATTATATCCTGACCGGTACGGTACTTGGAATCGCGGTGACCGGGGATCGTGACGCATTCGTGTGAGTATGATATAAGTTTAAATATAAATGTGGGATGAAACTTGGGGTGCGTGTGGTGCTGTGGGATGCTCTGCTCTAGCCTTCCTACCTACGGTGCTGTGATGTGCTGTGCTGTGCTAGGGGGAAACGGGTTTTATATATAATATATATGTATGTATAGCGGCACATGTATATATATATATATAATGCTCCGAGAAATACGGAATATAGGATTTTATTTTTATTTTTGTTTCTTTACAGAGGGGTGGTTTAAATAAAAGTTGGTCGGTACTTCATGGAGCTTGAACACTCTGTCCGATTTGGGGGGGAGGAGGAGGAGGAGAGGACTTAATGCTGTTATATTGGTATCATATCGTACGATGAGTAGATTTATCCAATTTACAGTATCGTGGGTATCTCCTCAAATCATCAAGAATCAAGAATCAAGAATCAAAAAAACACCCAAATATCATACCAGTATCACACCAAAATGTGATATCGTACCGTAGCTAACTTGAAGAAGATCAATAATCTACTATCATATAATATCATACAATACCATACCTCCCCCAGCCAAAAAGATAAAATAAAAATATATCATAATTATAAAAAGACCTAACCATGACACTTTTTATTATTATTATTATTATTA